AATCATTCAAGAAAGAATATGCTGTTTCCCGAATGAAAAATGAAAACAAAACAAGGCTGTATTTCTTGAATCCGATGTCAAAGCTACACTCAGCGATATACTTGATATGTATGTAGTTGTGTCCCAAGACAAAGAATCTAATAACTTAATCTGTGTCTGCAGACAATATAGCATTGTCTGCTTTGTAAAAATGGAATAGGTTTGCTTAATAACATAACAAAATCTACTTCATCGATCAAGGATATCCAACCTGCCTCGCTGGTAATGGATTCTAAAAGTTCCGAGAAAAGCGTCCATTCCAGCCACTATCCAATCCCCTCAACACCATACTAAGTACCAATGAACCAGGGCCACAGTCGTATTGGGACACTGTATGACCGACAAATGAAATTAAAAGAATACAGATTTTGATGTTTCTTCATTCAAAAAAATGTTTCTTCAATCAAAAGTTTTGCCTTTTCGACTCTTTACACTACCATTCCTCATACGAAACTGAAGGAACGCCATTGTCCTATCTTATAAGAGCGTTCTTGTCCAAGAAAGGTTAACGGCAATATATGCACATGACTTTTGAGTATTTTAGATGTTTCTGTATATAAAAGAACACACGATTAAGGCCGAAATGAAATAAAATGAAAATTTACATGCTTAACAATATCTGTGTTGACTTCGGTGGCAAGAATTTCCAGTAGACCTTAGGCATTCCCATGGGAACAAGCTGTGCCTCTATTCTGGCTGACTTGGGGTGTTCCATACGAGGCGAGCTCATCAAGACTGGTAACAAAACCTAGCCATGTCCTTCAATTTCACATTCAGGCACATCGACGATGTGCTGTATTTAAATATCAAAATTATTTTGATTACGTCGATCGTTTATACCCTCCTGGACTTGTAATCAAGAATCTACAGACGCTGCTACTTCAGCCGCTTTCTTCGACCTCAACTTACAACATGACAAATAGGGACGGCTAATAGCCAAGCTCTACGATAAGTGGGATTATTTCAATTTTTCGATTGTGATCTTTCTCTTTCTTGGTAGAAGCATCCATATATCCTCAAACCTACGACTTCTGACGGACAAACCTACAACAAGAGGTTTCCAGAGATAAAGGTTGATGAATAATATGGACATGTTCATGGTCGCCATCACAATCTCTACGGACATATGCTACTTCTTTACGTGATATGAAGGTCGATGTTTATTTTTTTTATTATACTTATTGGTGTTTCTTGTTGTTTGATAAACCCAAGTTCTCGCCATATTGACGAAATATTGATTTCAAACTTCGAAAATCCATTGCGGATATCGTCGATGAAGCAGAGCCTATCATTCCGGGACACCTGGGCCTTCTTCAGATCATATTTTTCTTTGTTTCATCGATTTTGAGTTCGAATTATGTTGGTTTTTTTTATTATTATTCTTTGTATGTATATAGTGGGCCAAATACACCTATTTCAGTTTGCGACACCCAATTGTCCTTATAGGTCCTCGCATACATTTTTCTCAGTTTCATCGATTTTGAGTTTGAATTATGTTGGTGTTTTTTTGATAATTTGGTGTGTTTTTTCCATATGCAGGTCAATAGTCTAACAACGTTTTTTTGGCACAAAAAAAATGAAAAGAAAATCAATAAATTCACTCCAGTATCATTTCAGTTGAAATCTTTATATGTATATAGTGGGCCAAATACACCTATTTCAGTTTGCGACACCCAAGTGTCCCTAGAGGTACTCGAATACATTTTTCTTAGTTTCATCGATTTTGAGTTCGAATTATGTTGGGTGGGTTTTTTTTGATAATTTGGTGGGTTTTTTTCCATATACAGGTCAATATTCTAACAACGTTTTTTTGGCACAAAAAAAAATGAAAAGAATAAATTCACTGCAGTAGCATTTCAGTTGAAATCTTTATATGTTAACGCAGAAGACGGCAACGGACGAAAACAGATCGAAATAGGTCACTTGATCCTTTGACCCATGCCAATGCCACTTGATCCTATTGACCTTGTAATTCACACTTGAATACCATCATATCGTTGTATTCAAAGATGGTGTTTATGTACATAGGTATTTTAATTTTAATTCACGAAAACTTTATATAAAAAATTAAGCACATCGGATACATTTTCAGACTTATTTTTTCTGATAGTCGCCCATTTCGTCAGTCATCCTCGATACTCCTGGGGATGTACTCACCGACACTGCTCCCTTGGTATATATCGTAACGAAATTGAAGGCACACGGTACGCTAGTTGATTGGTCTAAGGTAAAAAAAAAATGACAAATTGCTAGGATGATACCTTCCCTTTAAAGATTACAGAGAAGCGACACCCGACTTCAAAGCCACTCAATTTTACCGTTACGCTTACGCGGGAATCGTTTGATGTACATCAAAGGATCACACTAGTCCTTCGATTTTGTCGTGACATATTCCGTGGAGAAGAGAGCGTAGATGAGCGCAACCCCTGAGGTATCGAGGATGTTTGTATTAAAATCGTCGAGAACACGCATACTAAATCACCGGGCTTCAAAGCTGGTTGAGCCATCACCAGTGACGCTGTCAACATATAGAAAGTTACTAATCTACAGATATTTTCTGAAGTAAAATAGAACACACAACACGTTTCTGAAATAACTCATTTTAATTCCTTATTTCTCTTATTTTCATAACATTGTGCGTATATCAAATCACATCCTTTATAAAGCGATAAAAAGAGGACATAAACTACTATGTCAATGTTCAACATTGAATCAATTTGAGAGCCGACGTTTTACTTTTATGTAACATTCTTGTACTTTGGTACTTATCCAATGTTCGTGCTAATTACTATACGGTTGCATGATCTTTGATGATTACTCCAGACGTCTGTTCAACCGTATGTCACAAGTTACACCCTGCATCTTCGATTCGTCCAAGGTTGACACGGAATTGTGATAGCTTATGAAATGTTTTCTCTGTTCATAAGTATTAAAACCATCATGTATGATGTTAAAGACACTGTTATACTTATCGATAGTCAAATTGCACTGTTTCCTTATAAATCAAGGTCACTTTGAGCAAAATATAAATGCAATTTGGCTCTTACGCCGTCTCACGTAATCTCTAAGAATATTAATAATATAACTCGATAGAAAAAAATTCCCGGAGTGCTTCTCGAGTTGATTGGCTACTTGCCATTGGTCGAGGCTGGGTCATGTCAAACCTCTTTTGCCTAATTTCTACCTAGTATTATTAACTCGAACATATCGGTAAGCTTGAAGTACTTTAAACGAGCAGTAAAATCGGACTGCAGTAGATCTCGATATCCATTGACAGACATCCAAGCCAGTGACCAGATTTTACGTCAAAAAGTCGCCCAAACTCCATTTTTATCGTATCTGCTTTTGCTCAAGACAAGAGTAATAACACGAAGCATAACTTATGCAATAAGTTGATGAACATTCGCAGAGTAACTATCAAAACAAAATCATCCACCAGACTAGTGGAAGTGACAGTGTTAACTCAGAAACATTCAAGGAAAAATCGGCAATGAAGAACACATGTTCACATTTCTGAAATCGGCAACAATACTATTGAATAGAGCAGCACTTACTCACAGACACACACATGTACCCGTTGCAACATACCAAAATCAACACCGCCCGGTACAGCATTATAAGCTAACAGTGTCTTACAAACCGAGTAATATATAAAAAAAATACTTTACAATGTAACACAAGTGAGAGAAAGAATGATTTGAATATAGATACCAAGACGTAAAATGTCAATGCTAGCTGCACGTGGGTGGAATCGCTGCCTTTTGGTGATGTTAAAATATAGATGATTCGATAAAAAAAAAGTAATGATAATAAAATCAAACATTATTTGAAATATTTTGATTTTTTCTATGAAAGGATAACCATTAATGACGATATATTTTCAACATTGTTTATATGATTCGGCGAAAATATTCCATTTCTTAATAAAAGAAATGTTTAAAAATGTTTAAAAATGTTTAAATCTTTACAATCAAGCTGTGACACTTAATACACAAGACAACTTCGCCAGCATGATTACCGTGCTACACATACGACATGTTTCAAACAGCCACAAATTCCACAACCGACCGTGCTACATCTACCATAAGCTGTCTGTGGCAACTTATAACATGTGATTACACTGATCTGTGAAGAATTTAAGCTATTATTCCATAAGCAGGCGGAGGCGGAAACGTTTTCCTTCTGTTGTTATAACAAAATCAGGGGGAAATAAACATTTATCTTATATCTGTAGGTATTCCATTATGAACAATGCTAAGTATTGCACGCACTCCCAAACGTTTCCCACTTCCGGACAAAAAAAAATGTTCTTAGTAAAACAGTATTAAAGTTAAATCTGGATTTTTTACACAATTTTCAGGTTCATATCTTTAAAAAATATTCTTTATATGTATATAGTGGGCCAAATATACCTATTTCAGTTTGCGACACCCAAGTGTCCCTAGCGGTACTCGCATACAAAATTTGCAAAATGTACATGACAGGGTATATGAGATATTCTCTGGATAAAGTGATTCATGACGTAAAAAGGGACATAACTTAGTATAATATACAACATTCCACCATACCCCTTCCGATGGAGGAAAAAAGCACAGAAGTATATATATTTGTCGTGCACATATAATTATAAGACATGTTTATTGTGATGATGTAGTTACAATACCAATAATAAGAAAATACGTACATTTTACTATAAGTGATCGTATAGCTGATGCTGTAACAGTAAAGGGATAATTCCATATAAACCCTATTGTTGCATTCATTGTATCAGCATGTAGGGGGATAAGCAAATTTAGTTACCTGGGTCAAATCAAATGTGTTTCATAATTAACAAGTTGGATAATGACTTGGTATATGATATTTGTAGGTATTACACCGTTACCAATTGTGAAGTTAATGTTTGAAGCTATTTTAATAGCTTTACCATTAACAAGTGTTGAACTATATATCTTTCTATCGATGTTGTAGTTATGTTATCATCAACAAGTCGTGAGCTACATGTCTCACGGCTGCTGTAGTTATAGCACTGATGTTGTAGTTATTACGCCATAAACAAGTACTGACCTACACTGGTCTACCGTTGTTGTAGTTATGCGACCATAAACAACAGATGAATAACCTGTATCCACCACTGTTGAAGTCATCGAATCTCTAACTCTGGTGTAGTCATCACATTATCAACAACAAACAAAAAAACAAAAAACACACCTTTCTACCAGTGATGTAGTACTAAACCACTAACATAGGAATTCAGTTACAAGAGATGTTCCATTAAAAATACACAGGTACTTACAAAAGGTGATGTACTAGCGTATTCTAAAAACTGTAAACTTGTATCCATTCGCATGCAGGCAAATTTATTCTGACATCTTGTTAATTAAGAAATGAAACAATACTTAGTGTGGATGTAATGATTCAATTCAAATATAAATATAATATCAAAGAAATGGTGACCTACCAATACGGTATAACTCATCAAATCAATCTTTCTCTCTCGTAAATACAACATTGGTTAATAAATATATTCATCTTGATATCTGAGATCATAGCGTGATACAAAAACATACAACTTCATAAAGGTTAAAATAATTATTAAACCAGATATATAGAGATCTATCAATATAATTCTCAAATCCACAATGTTACACTCAGAGGAAAGCATTGTATTGTTTACTGTTTCGGGTGGAATGATTTGTACATGAACTGTTAACACTTTACTACATAAATATATCAACCTTTTGTCACAACACAATCTAACAACAATGAGGAGATGACCAGACATCAGTCTCTCGCACATGGTAACGCATTGGAACAGTACATTTATTACAAAATACTAAGTCCTCAAATTAATCTAAAGATATTTCTGACATAATCTTGCATGTGCTTCAACAATTTTATTAATTTCTATTTAATATATGGCGAAAAAACTCATTTTTTTTGTCATATTTTAGTTTTTACTCAAATTTCAAAAAACATTTCACTCTCGAAATCCAAGAGTTCAGCTCTCAATACACGTTTCTTCATTAAACCCTTGGGATATGTCAATACCAAACTGAAGGCTCATGATTACCTTGCATATGATACAAGTGCACTTTATCGGCGCGGTAGCATAACGATAAAATTGAAAGGGTAAACATTTTATTGTCTTTTCTTTGTAATCTTCAAATGACAGGTATAACCCTAGCGACCGATCGGTTTCTGATACCTGAAACCAATCAAATAACTGTGCATTCGACTTCGTATTCCTAGGCAAGGGAGTAGAAACGTTAAGGTGTATCGATAACAGAACTCTTGGATTGAGAAGAATAGTTCATTCGATATCCTACAAAATAACATAACGTTAAAATTAAGAAGTAGAATATTGGTGTAAATTTCTTTCTCTGAAATGAATTCAATAATGCATAAACAAAAAACAACAATCGTTTTAAAACAAAACAAAAAGATACATTCATTTTTCTCGGAATCGGTAATTACGTGACGTTATTCAAAACCACAGTAGATAACCAAAACACTTGTATCTAGAATACTTTATATATATATGAATTTCTTTCTGAAACTAAACGAATCGTTCAGACAGAAAACAAATATATTTCTTAATTTTGGAAAAGAAAGGCGGAGAAAGCAATTATCTAGCTAACACATAATTCAACTGATTGCCGTCCATAGATGACGTGATATAACTGGATATAGACCCTGTTCGTAAGGGAAAAGTCCTCGTTTGTAAGTGATGTCTTAATCTATGTTTACGATCTTCGTTTGCAAGTGGTGTGTTTATTTGAGGTAACAGTCCTCGTAAGAAACTGATGTGTTAATTTGTGGTAACAGTTAGATTGTAAGTAATGTGATATTTGTGGTAATTGTCCTCGTTTGTAAGTGATAAGATATTTTTGGTAGCAGTCCTCGTTTGTAAGTGATGTGATATTTGTGGTAATTGTCCTCGTTTGTAAGTGATGGGGTATTTTTGGTAATTGTTCTCGTTTGTAAGTGATGTGATATTTGTGGTAATTGTCCTCGTTTGTAAGTGATGTGAGTGGAGAAATATACATTATATATAAGTAAAAAATTACCAAATGCATGGAGGTTTGAAAAATCTTTTTTTACTGAATGTCGTTTTACTAGTAAGTAAATTTGCTTGCTTTATTGTTTTCCGTTATGTCTACTGAAATGCATATTTATTATTCCAAAAAGCTACACAAGTGCGACGAAACATAGACACTCACATTCACTTAGGGACTGTTTCATTTGTTGGCAAATTCCAAATGTGTATGAGAATTTAACTGCATTTACAGTGCATGCATCATCATTTCATTTCGTGACGTAAATCACGTCTGGGGTTACCAATTAGGGCAAAGGTTTTTATTTTTGGTGTTTGTAATGATAGTGTTCATTCATTGCATACTTAATAATATCAAAGTATTTTATTGAAGTTAGGAGGACGTGCCTATCTACAGTAAGTGTTTTTGCTGAGCATGCTTTGCTTTTAATTGTATGTTTAATAACATTATATCATTGTAACATTTTAAATTAAGACGTTCACTTTCTCTATTTCTTTCAAATACAGAAGCTTTTAAGATAAGTAAAGAGTAAAAGAAGCAATATAAATGACATTGTATAAAATTTCATATAGCAGTGAAAAATTCTAGTCAGACCAAAATTATCCATTCCTTAACATATAGTTGGAGTAAATGACAATACGTTGGTAGATCTGTCATAAACGTTTTCTTTTTCAGTTTTTTTTTTTTGGAATAGTTTTAACTTTTTTCTTTCTTCTTCTTAAGCGGACATGCATAATTATGATTTCTCATAAATAACATACCTGAATTGCCAGAGCCTGAAATTCAAGCCTATCTAAGAATATAAATAAGCACTGCGTGTCTCAAACAAGCACTAGTTCTCATGTGATACGACTGTAACCATTTCATATAATTACTTACATAAACATATCTCAATGTTTTAACAGAACAATAAATTGTCGACAAGAACCAGAACTGACGTTAATAACAAATGGCACCAAGTGATTTAATATGACTCCATCTACGACTAGAAAATCTGAAACTTAAAAAGATTTGCAATCAAAACTTTTAAATGGACAACCATCATAGAATACACAAATATATTTTAACATTTTCTATTTACAAACGAAGCAAAGATATAAAGTTAGAGTCATAAGATCATCTTCACATATGACTTTTATATAAAATAAAACCACGAACAACAGGATTTTCACACTTCTTGCACAAAATAATATAAAGTCTATAACTCATATAAATAATACATATAAATATTTCATAAAGTTCATAAATGCTTCAAAACTAGTGTAGACACCCCCATGTAATACGATGGGAAGAGTGTATACACCCCATGTAAATCATTGGGAATATTATATACACCCCCACGTAAAACAAAAGTAAGTTTGTAATATTCACTCCCAAGTAAAACATTGGGAATGTGACAGTTATCAAATACTGAGCAGCTTACGTGCACATTCATGTAGTATTAGCACTAACTCCAAAAACATAAAATAATAAAACTCCCTACTCTCCCTTCCACTCCTCATATTGGCTACAAATACAACAGTATATTACAGTTTCAATCTGATTAAAACCAGTTCTATGATGTATCATAATGGGAGGAATGAAAAGCTTTGAAAACAAACTGTCTGATTTTTTTTTTATTCCGCCAAACATCTTAATCTCGAGGGAAATATTAATTTCACATAAAATGTTATTTAGCTGTCATCGATTTTTTTTAATATTATATTTATTTCTATTTGTTTTAACTTCATTATTATTTGATATTTTCAAATTTGTATTAGTCATTTCCGTGACTAAATCGGCTAAAAGATTAAAATATACAAAAAATATGTCATCTATCAAATTAGTTCTCATAAACTGAAATCTTCAGTCATATGTATATGTAACCAATATTGCCGACATAAAAACGATACCTTTATGTATCTGTTGCATATGAACAAATCAAAACAAAAGTAACAAATCTGTAAGAGGGAGATAACCCTAATACAATATTTTCTTCTTAAAAACAAAATACTTTTTGAAAGTATCTACTGTACTTGCTCTACTAATTCAAACTCTGTATGTTCTGTATTTAACCCTTTCACCCCTATGTAACTTTAGCAGACTCTACCATGCACTGATATGGAGGGGTCCATTATGGTCTTCAGTGGTGAAAGGGTTAACTAATAAACCTCCAACTGCAATATCTTAAGACATCTAGTGATTGCTAACATTCCTGGAATTCATCATAACTTACAATAATGCCTGCATGATCAGATTTCCGGTGAAAATGATGGATTACAGTAACCTGTACTTGGTGGTACAAAATAAATGCTTGATAATTAAAATTATTTCACCATTAAAAAAACAATAAACTCCTTTGTGGGTGCCTTAACGTATGTTACAGAGGCTGAAACCTAAGAAGTTGGCAGTGTTGCATGTAAATGAGATCAGAGGTCAACTTGTCTTCATGTCTGTAACAAAACAGAAGTTTAAATGGTCAATTAAAGAGCCTTTTATTCCAAACATATTACAGGTTTGACGACAGCATTGAACACATATCTTGCTAATTGCTTTGAAATGAAGTGTACAATGAAATTTCAATAACCCAACAAAAATGACGGCTTAGAGTGACGGCTGGATTATTAGGGACAACTTTGTCTAGTAAAAGGCTACTAAACATTACTAAAGACACTAACTGGCAGGCAACCAACATAGGTCAACTCTATACCAACTGGCCTTAGGGACACAAATTTCATAAGCCTGTATCGCTCACCTCAATATTTCAGCAATCAATTCTATCACTGAAAAATATTCTCATTAAAAGTTACATATACTGCAAATATTTCCTTATTTACATCTCAGTCTCTAAGCATCAAAGGAGACAACTCCTTTGAGATTCACATTGAATTCCCTAGTCCTCTGATAAGCTGGTCAAGTGGAATAAGGTTGAAAGTCATTAATGTCAAAATCACAACCTTTTGACGTTTTCCCCTCAGTCCCCAGGGTAGCTACACTCTTCATTTACACATCAATTGATTCCAAGATGGCAAGGACCAAGGGTGCTTCAAAGCAAATTTGGTTGTGATCTGTATTTAAGTGTCATTATTTCCCTTGGATTAAGCACTTATGAGTGGAGGGAGGAACACCCAGGGGCTGTACAGAAGAATGAATGTTTAATCTCCATGTTTAACAAGAAGCTATATGGTTATAAGGTAAAAAGTGATAGCATGTGACAAAGTCCCCAAGAGGAGAAAGTTGTACAAATAATGCAAACATGTCCACCTTATACATACCTTTTGAAGACAGAAATTGTCATTTCTTGCGCTTCCAGCAGTCAGGGTGCATCTTTTTCTGTTGTTCTGCCAACACCTTAGCTTTCTCCGAATATGCATTTTTCTCAACTGTGTTCATTTCTTTCCACCTATCACCCAGGAGGATGCTGATTGACCTGTAAAAATGTCAAAACATTTTAAGGCATTCATTGATATGAAAATGTCTTTCTATGATGATAAAGTCAATGTGTATCTAAAACCACGGTCAAAGTACTTCTGCAAGACATATATATATATATAATTGACACGGAGAGGTAATTGCTTTATACCAGGACATGTTCTTTGCAGTTTTATTTTTCGCCTTATTCACCCTCAGCAATGAGTGCCAATTTATCATGACAGCAAACATTATTACCCAGCATACTGTATATAGTAGTTGGATGTGTGAAGGGGGAAACTTACACTGGGTCGTAGGAATTTTACCTTTAAAGGAGAAAGATTCTGAGTATACAGTATAAATAAAATCATTTTATATTTTTTAAAGAAAGTCGATTTTGCGTTCAATGCATCATATATATTTCTAACAGTTACGGCTTGTTGAAGTGCTGTGAATTGACATTCAGGAGAGCTGTGAGGTACGTAGTACTGTAGACCATACCTGTTGTCTTTTCCTGGATACATGTGGGTATGCTCATGACGGTAGTAATGTAGACCTTACCTGTTGTCCTTTCCTGGATACATGTGGGTATACTCCAGACGGTAGTAATGTAGACCTTACCTGTTGTCCTTTCCTGGATACATGTGGGTATACTCCAGACGGTAGTAATGTAGACCTTACCTGTTGTCCTTTCCTGGATACATGTGGGTATACTCCAGACGGTAGTAATGTAGACCTTACCTGTTGTCCTTTCCTGGATACATGTGGGTATACTCCAGACGGTAGTAATGTAGACCTTACCTGTTGTCCTTTCCTGGATACATGTGGGTATACTCCAGACGGTAGTAATGTAGACCTTACCTGTTGTCCTTTCCTGGATACATGTGGGTATACTCCAGACGGTAGTAATGTAGACCTTACCTGTTGTCCTTTCCTGGATACATGTGGGTATACTCCAGACGGTAGTAATGTAGACCTTACCTGTTGTCCTTTCCTGGATACATGTGGGTATACTCCAGACGGTAGTAATGTAGACCTTACCTGTTGTCCTTTCCTGGATACATGTGGGTATACTCCAGACGGTAGTAATGTAGACCTTACCTGTTGTCCTTTCCTGGATACATGTGGGTATACTCCAGACGGTAGTAATGTAGACCTTACCTGTTGTCCTTTCCTGGATACATGTGGGTATACTCCAGACGGTAGTAATGTAGACCTTACCTGTTGTCCTTTCCTGGATACATGTGGGTATACTCCAGACGGTAGTAATGTAGACCTTACCTGTTGTCCTTTCCTGGATACATGTGGGTATACTCCAGACGGTAGTAATGTAGACCTTACCTGTTGTCCTTTCCTGGATACATGTGGGTATACTCCAGACGGTAGTAATGTAGACCTTACCTGTTGTCCTTTCCTGGATACATGTGGGTATACTCCAGACGGTAGTAATGTAGACCTTACCTGTTGTCCTTTCCTGGATACATGTGGGTATACTCCAGACGGTAGTAATGTAGACCTTACCTGTTGTCCTTTCCTGGATACATGTGGGTATACTCCAGACGGTAGTAATGTAGACCTTACCTGTTGTCCTTTCCTGGATACATGTGGGTATACTCCAGACGGTAGTAATGTAGACCTTACCTGTTGTCCTTTCCTGGATACATGTGGGTATACTCCAGACGGTAGTAATGTAGACCTTACCTGTTGTCCTTTCCTGGATACATGTGGGTATACTCCAGACGGTAGTAATGTAGACCTTACCTGTTGTCCTTTCCTGGATACATGTGGGTATACTCCAGACGGTAGTAATGTAGACCTTACCTGTTGTCCTTTCCTGGATACATGTGGGTATACTCCAGACGGTAGTAATGTAGACCTTACCTGTTGTCCTTTCCTGGATACATGTGGGTATACTCCAGACGGTAGTAATGTAGACCTTACCTGTTGTCCTTTCCTGGATACATGTGGGTATACTCCAGACGGTAGTAATGTAGACCTTACCTGTTGTCCTTTCCTGGATACATGTGGGTATACTCCAGACGGTAGTAATGTAGACCTTACCTGTTGTCCTTTCCTGGATACATGTGGGTATACTCCAGACGGTAGTAATGTAGACCTTACCTGTTGTCCTTTCCTGGATACATGTGGGTATACTCCAGACGGTAGTAATGTAGACCTTACCTGTTGTCCTTTCCTGGATACATGTGGGTATACTCCAGACGGTAGTAATGTAGACCTTACCTGTTGTCCTTTCCTGGATACATGTGGGTATACTCCAGACGGTAGTAATGTAGACCTTACCTGTTGTCCTTTCCTGGATACATGTGGGTATACTCCAGACGGTAGTAATGTAGACCTTACCTGTTGTCCTTTCCTGGATACATGTGGGTATACTCCAGACGGTAGTAATGTAGACCTTACCTGTTGTCCTTTCCTGGATACATGTGGGTATACTCCAGACGGTAGTAATGTAGACCTTACCTGTTGTCCTTTCCTGGATACATGTGGGTATACTCCAGACGGTAGTAATGTAGACCTTACCTGTTGTCCTTTCCTGGATACATGTGGGTATACTCCAGACGGTAGTAATGTAGACCTTACCTGTTGTCCTTTCCTGGATACATGTGGGTATACTCCAGACGGTAGTAATGTAGACCTTACCTGTTGTCCTTTCCTGGATACATGTGGGTATACTCCAGACGGTAGTAATGTAGACCTTACCTGTTGTCCTTTCCTGGATACATGTGGGTATACTCCAGACGGTAGTAATGTAGACCTTACCTGTTGTCCTTTCCTGGATACATGTGGGTATACTCCAGACGGTAGTAATGTAGACCTTACCTGTTGTCCTTTCCTGGATACATGTGGGTATACTCCAGACGGTAGTAATGTAGACCTTACCTGTTGTCCTTTCCTGGATACATGTGGGTATACTCCAGACGGTAGTAATGTAGACCTTACCTGTTGTCCTTTCCTGGATACATGTGGGTATACTCCAGACGGTAGTAATGTAGACCTTACCTGTTGTCCTTTCCTGGATACATGTGGGTATACTCCAGACGGTAGTAATGTAGACCTTACCTGTTGTCCTTTCCTGGATACATGTGGGTATACTCCAGACGGTAGTAATGTAGACCTTACCTGTTGTCCTTTCCTGGATACATGTGGGTATACTCCAGACGGTAGTAATGTAGACCTTACCTGTTGTCCTTTCCTGGATACATGTGGGTATACTCCAGACGGTAGTAATGTAGACCTTACCTGTTGTCCTTTCCTGGATACATGTGGGTATACTCCAGACGGTAGTAATGTAGACCTTACCTGTTGTCCTTTCCTGGATACATGTGGGTATACTCCAGACGGTAGTAATGTAGACCTTACCTGTTGTCCTTTCCTGGATACATGTGGGTATACTCCAGACGGTAGTAATGTAGACCTTACCTGTTGTCCTTTCCTGGATACATGTGGGTATACTCCAGACGGTAGTAATGTAGACCTTACCTGTTGTCCTTTCCTGGATACATGTGGGTATACTCCAGACGGTAGTAATGTAGACCTTACCTGTTGTCCTTTCCTGGATACATGTGGGTATACTCCAGACGGTAGTAATGTAGACCTTACCTGTTGTCCTTTCCTGGATACATGTGGGTATACTCCAGACGGTAGTAATGTAGACCTTACCTGTTGTCCTTTCCTGGATACATGTGGGTATACTCCAGACGGTAGTAATGTAGACCTTACCTGTTGTCCTTTCCTGGATACATGTGGGTATACTCCAGACGGTAGTAATGTAGACCTTACCTGTTGTCCTTTCCTGGATACATGTGGGTATACTCCAGACGGTAGTAATGTAGACCTTACCTGTTGTCCTTTCCTGGATACATGTGGGTATACTCCAGACGGTAGTAATGTAGACCTTACCTGTTGTCCTTTCCTGGATACATGTGGGTATACTCCAGACGGTAGTAATGTAGACCTTACCTGTTGTCCTTTCCTGGATACATGTGGGTATACTCCAGACGGTAGTAATGTAGACCTTACCTGTTGTCCTTTCCTGGATACATGTGGGTATACTCCAGACGGTAGTAATGTAGACCTTACCTGTTGTCCTTTCCTGGATACATGTGGGTATACTCCAGACGGTAGTAATGTAGACCTTACCTGTTGTCCTTTCCTGGATACATGTGGGTATACTCCAGACGGTAGTAATGTAGACCTTACCTGTTGTCCTTTCCTGGATACATGTGGGTATACTCCAGACGGTAGTAATGTAGACCTTACCTGTTGTCCTTTCCTGGATACATGTGGGTATACTCCAGACGGTAGTAATGTAGACCTTACCTGTTGTCCTTTCCTGGATACATGTGGGTATACTCCAGACGGTAGTAATGTAGACCTTACCTGTTGTCCTTTCCTGGATACATGTGGGTATACTCCAGACGGTAGTAATGTAGACCTTACCTGTTGTCCTTTCCTGGATACATGTGGGTATACTCCAGACGGTAGTAATGTAGACCTTACCTGTTGTCCTTTCCTGGATACATGTGGGTATACTCCAGACGACACTCCTTGGCAAATAACATGAATCCATTCATGGGTCTTTTGGCCTTCAACGATTCAGCTTTGACTGGCCGCTTCCTTGCTGCTTGCCCAGTGGTCAGTTTAGGGCTTACCTCCAGCTCCCTCTGATTCCTTTGCTGCATAAAAGGCAACAGGAAAACCATGACAAAAGGTTAAAACAGTTTTTTAAGACTAACCAATTAATCCATACTACCATTAAATCAATTTTCTTGGTGGGGGTTACAAATTTGCAAAAGCCTGCATGCAAATGATGATGTCCACCTAATTATTTGATAACCATACAACATTTGTAGAGAGTCTTGTCTAATCTCAAGGACCTCAACAGTCCAGGAGTGACAAACAAATATAATCAAAACAACCAGTATCAGAACAGACCTATTCTAGCACCAACCATATGATCTCCTTATGTACAAAAATCCACATATTTGAGTGTGTTTATATGTACACATGCTCAGCTCAGAAAGGGTATATATTTCCAATGGTTCATTTGTAGTCCCATACCATTAGAATACAACAGCACACTGTAATATAGAGCTCACACAACTAAATCACCCAATCAGCAAGTGTTTCATACATTTGAAATTCCTACCTCAAATTAGTTCTGGTTAAATACCGTGCCTCTGAGGAACTTCAATGTGGAATTGGAGACAGGCTTTTAAATCATGAAAGCTCGTTGATTTACATCTTCCAAATTCAAGGGCCACACTTGGGTGACATAAAGCTTATCTGATACCTGCCCTTTAAAGATTACCGAGGACCTACACCAAAACTTCATAACCTATCGCATGATTCTTTTGACCATCAATAAAGACATCTACTTGCATCATCTGCATCTGACATATTCCTTGGGTGCAGAGAAGATATGTGTACGGAGAGCAACCCCCCCCCCCCAATATCAAAGGTGATAGCATCATTATTGCATATCAGAAGTGATTTATTAGTGTGAATATTTTAGTACCCAACACTGAAGATAGTGGACTTTTATCTAGGTAGATGGAGGTAAACAAAGTGTCTTGCTCAAGCTTACAAACACATCCTGCCATCAGTTGTTACCCAAACTATAATTAATAATATTAATACTTTGAGGTCCTTATATACCGCTTTATCACATCCTAGTTTGAAGGTCGTCTCAAAGCGGTTCACAAATTATTATCTGTGGTTATAGTGTCTTTTGCAACCAGCCAATATCGTTCTCAACTCCCTGGGGAGTATACAGGCAGTGCTGCCATTTCGGCCCTCACAGCAAGCATTCTACAATTCTAGCACTACCCAACCACATACTCATTTACAGCTAAGTAGACTGGAACAAGCGGAGTAAAGTATCTTGCTCAAAGAAACAACACAGTGCTGTGACCTGAGTGAAACTCGCAACCCTTCGGTCACGAGCCCGGCTTCCTACCACTAGACTACCGTGCCTCCAAACTATGACAAGCTTGTGGTAAATAAGCTGATGTGCTGTACAGTGTGGAAGTGGGAGCTTGACTACATGTATGCCACATCTTGTCACATTATTCCGACAAAAGATCAACAGAAATACCTGGAGAGTGATAGTTGCATGTGCCTGTGTCACACCTAGTAGTTTCTAGTTTCACTAGACCTGACACTATAACTTACCTGTGTCACACCTAGTAGTTTCTAGTTTCACTAGACCTGACACCATAGCTTACCTGTGTCACACCTAGCAGTTTCAAGTCTACTAGACCTGACACAATAGCTTACCTGTGTCACACCTAGTAGTTTCTAGTTTTACTAGACCTGTCACCTTAGCTTACCTGTGTCACACCTGGTAGTTTCTAGTTTTACTAGACCTGACACCATAGCTTACCTGTGTCACACCTAGTTGTTTATAGTTTTACTAGACCTGACACCTTAGCTTACCTGTGTCACACCTAGTAGTTTCTAGTTTCACTAGACCTGACACCATAGCTTACCTGTGTCACATCCAGTAGTTTCTAGTTTTACTAGACCTGACACCATAGCTTACCCGTGTCACACCTAGTAGTTTCTAGTTTTACTAGACCTGACATTATACCTTACCTGTGTCACACCTAGTAGTTTCTAGTTTTACTAGACCTGACACCATAGCTTACCTGTGTCACACCTAGTAGTTTCTAGTTTCACTAGACCGGACACCTTAGCTTACCTGTGTCACACCTAGTTGTTTCTAGTCTACTAGACTGGACACCATATCTTACCTGTGTCACACCTAGTTGTTTCTAGTCTACTAGACTGGACACCTTAGCTTACCTGTGTCACACCTAGTAGTTTATAGCTACAGCACAGCTTATACATGTACCATGAGTCACAACTGTGTAACACCAAGAAATTACCAATTGTAAAAGAGCTAATACAGAAGCCTAGCTGTTATACCTAGTAGTACATATGCCAGTTTTGCTTACCTGTGCCATGCTGCTGAGGGTAAATACTGCGGATGTGTAGCTCGGACTAATAGATTCACTGTGGATGAAAAATCAAACCATAAGCAGGAAATACAAGACTTGAATCTGGGCCCAGTTGTTCAAAAGGTGATTAGCTTAATTAGTGATTGGCGCAAATTTTAATCTTTATGTAACTTCAAAACAAAACTAATGAATTAGGTGCAACTTTCCAGATATCAAATATTTAGTAGAGTGAATTTACATGCAAAATTGTGAGATTGTATCTTGTTTATTGACACAATTATTAAAGGTTGAAAATTATCGTTACACAGTGATTAAGCTAATCACCTTTTGAACAATTGAGGTCGCCGATAGGGGGCCCTGACAGTCGTTTACGTTATGAAAGTTTGTGGTGACAGAACTGCGAGTACATAGAATTTATAACTCGTTATTTAGTAAGTGTTTGTCCTGTTGCAAATATTTAAATATTTAAAGTTGGCGGTAACAGCACACATCGACATTCGATGTCGAGTTGGAATGCCGAGCTCAGTAGCGACCGGAGTGTGTCTCCAATGCATGATGTGCGGCGAAAACCTTTGTCTTATCGCACACAGCTGTCAGATGTGAAAACAGAAAGGACCTGCTTCTGTATGTCTTTGAGTGGTCTATATGCATCAATGATTAGGCTTACCATGAAAGTATGTTAAAGATACCCGCTTTGCTTCTGAATAAAATTCACTCGACTTGACACAGTTCTCTGAAGCGGACGATGCAGTGCTCGATTTATGTCCGCCATATTTAAGAATGAGACTAATTAAGAATGAGACTTGAGACTTAAGCATGCTAAGGACCGTCCTCAAATATTGGCCCATTCTCAGCTTAAAATCCAAGAATTGAGTATTAAGAATTTTGAAGATAGCCAAAAGTTGAGCATATGCTTAAAGTTAAGCATATACTCAGATTTAAGCAATGAGAACGGAGTTAAGAAGTTTTGTGCAAGTGTGGCCTGGTGACATTTATTTCACTATCTGTTACAGGTTAAACTTAATTAAGTTGTAAATTACTTTATTTCATATGTTCTTTATTTTGTGAACTATGCCTAAAGTTTTCTTTGTGATCTCTTGATTGAGAGAATTCTATTTCAATATATTGACAGTAATTTAATCTTTTGAAAGACATGAATATTCTCAAAAGATTTGAATTTAAACGTGAAACTTATTCTCTCACAAAAATATGTTCAAAGAAGACAACATAGAAGGGGAATTTTGTTTGCAGAAGTTGCATAGTTGCTATCGGGCAATTTTATATTACTCATCATTACAGACGCAGAACAGAGCTTTACTCATTCACCCCTGAAATTTTATAATGAACTATTCCAACCTTTGAATTGGAAGAGTTCAAATCTGTCCTCAGGGGTGAATGAGTTAAACAGCACCTATGATTACACCCAACATGGTCTATCATCACAAATCAACCTTCGGTTCTGTTTAGCATTGAGTAAATGCAGAGTGAAGTGACTGGATTTGGGCAAATCTTGCCTTTAAACAAATTTAAAGGCTGTATGTATTACCATACCAGTGATGGCTGGGTTATCATGACATCATTTTACCTCTGGAATGTGCTAAATGCAGCATCTGGATGGGATGGGGGTAGACACAGGTCACCTATCTCCAGTTGGTTACAAGGGATACCATAGTGCTCCGCTGTCATTGTGTCATTCAGGGATGCCCATCCTGAAGAGGAATCACAATCATGTTATGATAGTTACAAACATTTATGATAAAAGTCACTTTTTGGATTTATTCTGATTGAGGTAAACATGGAAAGGTTATCTAGGTACTGTACAATTAGCAAAATCAATTATACCATATCTATCAATATTAGATTATAAATCTGATAAGCCCTGGCAGCACTCTAAATTTACATGACTGGAAAATTAGAAAATGCATTTCAAAGGGATCTTCATATGAACAATTGAATCAAAAATACACTGCAAAAGGTACACATATCAAAAAGATCAAAAAGAATGGCTACAGCATCTAGTTATGATTTGCGTCCAACAGAATGACATTTGCGAACATTACTGTAATACTTAGTTTCAGTGGTATAACGTCAATAAATAATAAAACTTATCTTTTTTCAAATATATTATAACTAATATTATTCTTAAAGTTTTAGTTGCATCATATATAAGGAGAGACGAACATTAAACAAAACTTTGACAAATAGTTCAACAATACATCTACATGAATATACCCTCCTTCACTTAGTAGGGGGTATAACATACTCTTACGGTCATCTTACCCTTGTCTTTCACAAAGAAGGGGTGGTCAGTCTTACACTGGACCAGCACATCTGACTGACCCTTGACCTTAGCTGAGAAAAGGAGATTGGTGGTCTCTGGCTGTCTGCACTGTATGTCCTTCAGCAGCAGGCCGTTAGGGGCGTAGCTGTCAAATATAACAAACTGTTACAGGCATAGATCTAAAGTGTAACAAGCAGACAGTTAATGTTAGGGGCGTAGCTGTCAAATATAACATAAAAGTAAAGCATAGCAGCCAAGAGTTGTAAGACAGCCTCAGTAAAATACCACCATGGACACAATTACAGATGCAGAATTTTGTCAGTCAAGGAAGTAAATTAAAACAGGTGCAGATGTTGGAGTATTAGAGGTGTTGCAATTTATCATGTCATCTTACATGGGACCTGTTTGCTGTCTATAACTTTGGGACAATTCACCCTGCCACCTTACCTTGGAGTTGTTCCCTGTCTGCAGGCCTGCTGTGACAGCTCCTCATGCCGGGCAAGTTCCTCCACACTTGTCCAGACTCCATTATCATCAACAAAGTGAACCATTGTTCCTATGAAATAGTTACATATATATAACGGTATCTTTACCACAGCCAAACGTTGTATTGATAAACCTATAAGATTTATGAAATTATTGTTGCTCTAGGCTTTACTTTGACAGGCAGTCTGGCCTTCTGGACCAACAAAATATGTGTCACCCTCGAGCACAGTCAACAACTGTACTTTGTAAACATTTCACTTCTATCACAGGCTATTAATATCAATATGCACATTTAAAGTTCTATAGCACAAATGTAAAAAAAAATACATCTGTACAAAATGCACAAATATTAAGAACTTTTATTCCAATACAGTATAATGAATTACAGACACTTGTAAAAAAACAAGTAAAGTCATGATGAAATATGATTATATTCATGAAAGGACATCATTTTACAGGTGACAAAAGCCAACATCTATACATGCAACACAACACAGCGAAAGTCATAGCAATCTAATTTTAAAAAATGAAATAAAATAAAAACACCAAACATAAGCATCTTACATTAAATATAAAAACTCCAAAATTCATACATACAAGAGGCCCAGAGGGCCTGTATCGCTCACCTGGATATCTAAGCAATCATGGCAAAATATTCTCCAAACGAGATCCAAGGGAATATGCCAGACCTCAAGGCCAATCCTTGTAGCATATCTGTATTTGATTTTTTATGCCCAGCAATTTTATGTATGGTTATAGGGTGGGGATCTCAACTGTTTCCAAGCTGTGACTCAGAAACTAGGTCCCTAGGGTTGTGGCCAGACCCCAGGATAAATTCTAATATCATGACTGCATTTGTCTCTTTTTGCCCAGCATTTGTATATATAGTTTTGGGGTGGGGATCTTAACCGTTTCAAAGTAATGACTCAGGGTTAAGTCTCCAAGGGTGGGGCCAGACCCTGGAGCCATCCTGGAAGCAAATGTGCATTCCTCTGGTTATACTCAGCAATTGTATATATATGGTTATATGGTGGGGACCTCAACCATTTCCAAGTAAAAAAAAAAAATGGCCCCACCCCTTAGCTCAGGGGGTCAGCCCCACCATTTGTACAATTTTAAATCCCTGCCTCCCATGAATGCTTCCGACCAAATATGATCAATATCCATGGTATAGTTTTACGGAAGAAGTCGTTTATAGCAGTATAGCCAAATTGTCCCCTTTTGGCCCAGCCCTCAGCCCCTTGGGGGTCAGCCCCACCATTTGTACAATTTTGAATCCCCACCACCTAAGGATGCTTCCCGTCAAATTTAGTTAAATTCCAATAAGTGGTTAAGAAGAAGAAGTCGTTTAAAGAAATTGTTGACGGATGGACGACGGACGGACGACAGACAACGGACGGACGACAGACAACGGACGGACGACGGACGACGGACGCCACGGTATGGCATAAGCTCACCTTGGACCTTTGGACCCGGTAAGCTAATAATGGGACCAATATATAATCTACCCTTCCTAGATTGAAGCACATGAGCTTTTTAATCAAACCAGTTTTGTTTCCAAACCATCACATGACAACCAATAAGTACAAGGTTTTATAGACAGGTGGTCCCTATGCTAAGTAGTAGAAGGTGACTGTTACAGTTATTGACATGTGGACACGTTTAATTATTCACACATTAACTTCAATCATGTTTTACCCAGAAGTACATGTAATAACAAAAAGCAGGTGTCAGTTTCATTGTCTGCACTGTTGTTATTACATTTCCCTGTTTATGTAAGTAATATGCAAGCATACAACAATGTATGTTATTAGACCATACTCATGCCATTATTACTTATGAGACATTGCTAACATTCATACATTGTATTATTACCGCAGGGCATGAGGAAAATAAATTCTTCACTTGTATATATATAATTTGTGGTTCTATGTTACTGGAATACATACATGTATCAGATGCGCTGGTTATGTTGGTCAGAAGGTAAAGGTATGAACTATCTGTCATAATTTTACAATGTCTAGAAATCAAGTTGTTTCGTCTGTGTGGAAATCTAGTAATGTAATCTATGTATCTATGTATGTATAGATGTAGACATACCTGAGTACAATATATTTCATATTTCCAAACAGTATAAGCAAATACAATGGTATGAATTGGGAATAAATTCTTCCAAGGGAGATGAATCCTACTGAATGTAAGGGAAATAACTCCCACTAAATGAAATGTTTTGTTTCAGAGCACTTCTGAGAAAAAATCACATATTCTCTATTTATTGGTCAGGTATTAAAGTGGTTGAGTATGATTTTTTTTTTACAGGGATGTCATTGTGAAAGTCTTTTTAAGTACTAGGGTTTATATTTAACATGTACACTATATATAGGCTCAAATTGCCTGCCATGATTACAAATTTCACTTGCCTCTGTATCAGACAGTAGGCAGTAAAGGCAGTTAATCAGGACTCATGGTACCTGAATAATGATCTATTTATCTAACAAGATAAACACTTTATCACAACAATTAAGTTTATCTGAATCAAATAAACTTGTGAATAAAAAATGGTGATCAAACAGTTGAATGTGTCACACACCACAACACCTAAAGTGCATACTTACATATCCTATTCGATAGCCATAGGTCAAAAAGAGGGAAAATGATTTTGAAACCAATTCAATGGACAATCATTGACTTCATCAATAATCAAATATACCTTACTTGGTTTGTAAGATGTTCAAAAACCCCAATTGAAACTGTGATTGAACCATCAACCATAATGCTAGGTTTACATTCTGTTGACAAAACGGGATGAACGTGAGACAACGTAGGGGGACATGATGTGCAAATGTGACAGGCCGTGATTGCGGGTAAGATTTTTTAAACTGTCAAAAGATTTGCCACAGCAGTCACGGTGCAGATGAGAAACCTAGTAGGCCGAAGTAAAACTGGGTAAATGCAACAAAACATGACAGTACATAATAGGCCATAATTAAACTATGAGGCGGTCCGTAGTGGGAAGGGAAGCATGTGTTTCCCTGGTATCTAACATTCTTTTCTAATTTTGTCATGTTCTACCGCGTTAAGTGCGCATTTTGTCAGGGTTGCTTCATTCACGTTTTGTCCTTATTTGCCACGTTTTGTCAAAAGTTCTCAGTGCAAGCTAGAGTGTATGGTAGCTGTTTCGTCCCGTTCAATCACAGGGCATCCTGGCCTGTGATTGTTTACGGGCCTCTCGCGCTACAGCGGGTTGCGATCAAAGTTACGGTCCGACATGGCAGGCCCGGTCTGGGAGGGAGTATTTAAAAGCCTGGCCTGGCAGGGGAGCTTCATACGAGTCTCAAGATACAATTATTGCTATTGCTTGGGAGGCCTTGTTTTAAAAATGCTCCAAAGCTGCTCCACATACACGTTTCATATGTAGAAAGCCTTGACAGACCATGAAAAACGTGTCACACCTTGATCAGAATGTGAGAAACGTGATGGACCCCATCAGAACGTGACAGGTCGGGAAGGAATGCACTGGCTTAATTCTGGGGTAGAACGCGGGCAGAACTGTAGTGTGCCTTGGGCCTCCTGGACTCAGCAGCACCTTTCACCTCATGGCCCGTTACATACACCGTGATAGACTTTGAGAAAACTTAGCAAGACCTAATAAAACTTGAATACAGAGAAAATATTGCCAAAATCCCACAACACACTACATTTCGGGCAAACAGGACTGCCGTGGCAGCTTGGAACATAATGTAAACCTAGCATAATTTTTGTGGGTATCAAACCCTGAAAATTTGGTCACAGATATAATCATTTGGATTTAAATCTACAACACAACAGTTATATAAAAACATCGGACATCGACAATCATTTGGGACCCTGAAATACAAACTCTTTCTAGGTATTCTCATACTCGACCTTTGCATAAACTTTGATGTCATTTGTTAAGAATGAAGTCAGCAGAGTTTGAATTACATTTATAAATCGCAACACGATGGGACCAGACAGAATGGACATAGGTATCACCGGTAACACTATTTTACCTCCCCCAATAAAATGGTGGGGACATTAACGTATCACCAAAAAACTATAAATATCTGAGTTAAGAATATTAACCACTACAGCAAATACATATTGCGGTAAACAAATTCCAAACAACCCTTCTTATAATGCCTAAATACAGGGTCACATTATAAGTCTGAACATAGAATTGCAACAAAGGTTTGAAGGTTTCATAATGGTTTACTGAACTGATGCACTGCAGTAAAAATATGACATCTTTGCTTGAATTTTCACGGATAACTCACCTTTGACAAAACACTGCCAGACAGCTGTTGGCCATTTGTGGGACCAGTCCCCGTCAACAGAGTTGGATCCTGGGAAGGGTGAAGACGAAGTCACTCGAGGGTCACTGCCGTCCCCACTCTGATCACTACAACAAGACCAGTTCATTGAAGGTCATTACAGGATCAAAAGGTCTACATCGACTTTATAACGTGACTGACAAAGCTAGTGCTGACATATAAAATATCCCCTACGAACCTTCAGGTGCAAGCTGTATACATGCAACTGTCACTGAAAAATCACTGACAATAAAAATACTGAAATACATGTATATATATGTTAACCACTATTCCGTCTTTTCGTATTATCTTTTCGTATTATCTTCTCTTGTGAGCAGGTATTGATTGTTACGTCATATGTTTGTTAGAGTAACGTCATCATTTTTTGAGAAAACGACGTAATTTTCTCACACAAACCATTGACGTAACAATCAATACCTGCTCACAGGAGAAGATAACTCTGCAATACGCAAAGACGGAATAAGGAGCTACAACTATGTATAATTAACCCTACCAAAGCCAGATGACATTCACTTTAAATGTAACGGCTATGCAGGAAAACAAACCATAATGAGCAGTGTCATTCACCTAGTCTTTAATGTCATAGCAACCCAGTTTAATGGTTAAATGAAACAAGAACAGTCTCCATGTTTTACAAACATTAAAATATGAACTAGAGAAACTGTGAGCTAGCTCACAAAGAGATAACACCACAATCCTTTATGGCCTTTGAGCCTACACTTAAAGGTTTTTGGAGCAGAAATTAAAGTTAAAGTTTCAAAGGCCATAACTACAGGAACAAGAGTATCGCGGGGCAGAACAATATACGCCCGTCGACTGCCATATAGTGTTATATACTTTCTTACATTGAAATAAGATCTGCATCATTCTAAGAGTGGTTAGCTGACATGCTATAAAAAGTGTAGGAGAAAATCTCCTGACAAAAAATCAAATACTAAAATGAACAAAGGGCAATAACTTTTGCAAAAATCGTCGAATCAAAATTCTTTTTATTGAGACACAACTTCATATCATGATTATAATGTATACCAAGTTTCAAAGAGATCCGTTGAAAAATGTAGGAGGGGATTGCCAGATAAAAATCAAATACTGAAATATACAAAGGGCAATTAATTTTGAAAAAATTGTCGAATCAAAATTCTTTTAAGGGAGACACAACTTCATATCATGATTATAATGTATACCAAGTTTCAAAGAGATCGGTTGAAAAATGTAGGAGGAGATTGCCGGACAAACAAAAGTTTATGCTGGACGGACGGACGCCATACCAGAATACTCCCGTCAAATTTGACGGGCTTATACAAATATTTTAAGTGCAAATTCCTTACTTCATGCACCTCTACACATTGTTTCAGGGGTTATAGTTATTAAATATGTACCTGTGATAACTGCCCACCTCCTGTTCTGGGACTGGATCATCATATTTGACAAGGTTTCTGTCTGTGTAACCTGCGTTGTTCCCATGGTAACCTGTAAACCTGCCTTCTCCCATCTTCTTGTCCTCGGTCACAACAGATCTATACAGCAACATACATCTTACACTATCTTTTCCATGTGACACAAACAAACTTATATAGGGTTATCAACATATAGGTTAAAGTCATTACATCATTCACCACTGAAGACTCATTTGAACTCTTCCAATTCAAATGTTAGAATAGTTCATTTTGAAATTTCAGGGGTGAACAAGTTAAATGGACCTTAGCTTTTGCTGATATATGTTGTATGATATGTTGTATGATATGAAATTACATAGCCACCTCTTCTATAAATATTGGAATTTTATTTTGAAGTTAAACAGAAAAGGGATTGTTTTCAGGTCAAATTTACCTGGAGAAATTATAATTATGACAGTAAATAAGCTGTTCAAATATTTATAAGCAATGCCTACTTTGATTTCTCAGCTTGTATGTACTTGTCCCAGCAGAAGGGCTGTGCAGTCTGCATCAAAGGGCTCTGGGGGCTTGTGGCAATGATTGCAAACTCTTTCAGCATGTCAGCACCAGCTCCCATCTCTGTGGGAGTTATGTCCATTGATGCCTGAGTGTTTGTCCTGAACCCCGATTGTAGTTTACATGCCACCCCACGTCCTAATTGCTGCTCCTTGCCAGTATCCTTCATTCTTGTATCCTCCAAAAGTTGAAGAGGAGGGGGCACTTTCTTTCCAGATTCTGAAATGTATAAAGAAATTTATAAAGTAAATGTTTTTCTTTATTTCAACTATTTATGCTTTATTGGGTTTAATGTCTAGACAGCACTCCTCTGGTCACATGAAGACTTTGGGTTTAATTTTGTTTAATGTCCTATTAACAGCTAAGGTCATTCAAAGACATGCCTCCATGTGTGTAGTGTATGCGTGCTTACGTGTGTATGCAAGAGACAGGGTATGTTGATGTGACATGCAGACAGTCTCTACACACTCATTGGTAAAGCAAAATAACGTACATGTTTATCATGTTAAATCAAAATGAAAATCAATGTCCAGTAATTAATGTAGATCAAAACACAGTCAGATATTGGTCACTCCTTATTCTTATTTCTTGATGAAACCTGTCTAACCTATAGTTACTGCCGGTTGTGGCCAGTCTCACACCTGACAATAATTGTCAATTCATCCCCTTACCTAAAGTTACCGCCTAATGTGGTTAGTCTCACACCTGACCATAATCGTCTTTCCATCCCCTTACCTATAGTTACTGTCTGTTGTGGTCAGTCTTACACCTGACAATAATTGTCAATCCATCCCTTACCTATAGTTACTGCCCATTGTGGCCAGTCTCACACCTGACCATAATCGTCTTTCCATCCCCTTACCTATAGTTACTGTCTACTGAGGTCAGTCTCACACTTGACCATAATGGTCACTCCATCCTCTTACCTATAGTTACTGCCTGTTGTGGTCAGTCTCACACCTTAATTACCATAATCGTCATTCCATCCCCTTTCCTATAGTTACTGCCTGTTGTGGTCAGTCTCACACCTGACCATAATCGTCACTCCATCCCCTTATCTATATTTACTGCCCGTTGTGGTCAGACTCACACCTGACCATAATAATGGGCACTACATCCCCTTACCTATAGTTACTGCCTGTTTCTGGTCAGTTCCAGCACAGCATTGATCACTCCATCAGTTTACCTCTTAAAAGGTATCTCCTGTAGAAGTCAGTCTGAATCCCTCACTATATTTGCCACTCCATCCTTTAATCTCTAATAACTGTTTTTCAGAACAAGGTCATTACCATTTCTGGCAAAGTGTAAATCCTTAATAATATGTACAGGTTATGTTCATTCTCGATGTTCTGCTATACTGTACTCTTCCCATCAACTAAACACTACACCTTCATCCTTTAGTATCTGGCCACGTCAAACCATGCAGTGTTGTATATCGAGCGATACCACTCCGGATAGAACATTAATAATGGTGACTAATGGTGACCTCTTAAAATAGAAATGATGCAATCTTTTGCAGGAAATACTTGAACATGTTATGTAAGTTAACAGGCGTCGTGTTTATGCGACCACAACTGCACAGTGCAGCAGAAAATACATACCCAATTCGCTATTTTATATGATGTAGTAAGCTTATGTCTAGGTCTTATCTGTGTTAATCTACATACGAACGTGACATGTTAAAATTTCATAAGGAGTGCAAACCTCACTTTATAAGCAGGATTTAGTAAAGTAAGCATATAGTTTAGTTAAAGTGACTGCATCCTTCTATCTCGTAGAAGGTACTGCCTGTTGATGGTCATTTCCAACCCTCATCATATCGGTCACTCTGTCATTTCCAACCCTCATCATATCGGTCACTCTGTCCTATATATCCGCATTACCATACCAGAGAATAATAAAATCTATTACCTGTAACTGAATGAGATCGGGTTATCTCAGTCGAGGTTTAAGATTCTGTAACAAAGTCCCAATTGAGGCGTAAGCTGAGGTTGGGATGTTACAGATTCTTAGCCCGAGACTGAGATAACCCGATCTTAATCAGCTACAGTAGGTAATTGGGTTTTTTTCTCGCACCTTTTAGTTCGATTTTTTTTTCTATTTTGCTAAAAACTACAAGTATCCCGCCTTCGGCCGCAAATGATAATGACCTCTTCACTACTTTCGCTACATTTGAATGCTTCCGCGTAAAAATGTTGTCTGTCCTTACATAGATTACAATGTAATTCACGGTGTAGATTATATTTTATCTACAACATCAAATATCTAACAACATAAAAACTATACATATAATGACAAAACAGAACATTTATAATGAAAATTGTCAATTTCAAACAGGTAACACGCGGATGAATACATCGCAGTTTAAAAATTCCGCAAAATGTCACGTAAAGGTACACGACAGATCGGACGAGATAGAAAAATCTAGCATGGGGTATGACGTTGGATATTCTGTCTGGGGTGCGAGAAATGTTAGCTTCATCCTCTATCCTCTAGGGAGTTACTGCTTGTAGAGATTAGTCCCGAACCGGACTAAATATTAGTCACTTAAACTCTATTCCCTTGCTTCCAGTTACAGCCTTCAGAGGTCAGTCCATACCCTGACCATATTGGTCACTTTTAAGTATCTTACCTTTAGTTTCCAGTTACAACCTTCAGAGGTCAGTCCATACCCTGACCATATTGGTCACTTTTAAGTATCTTACCTTTAGTTACCAATTACAGCCTTTAGAGGTCAGTCTCAACCCTGACCATATTGGTCACTTTTAATTATCTTACCTTTAGTTACCAGTTAAGCCTTTAAAGGTCAGTCTCAACCCTGATCATATTGGTCACTTTTAATTATCTTACCTTTAGTTACCAGTTAAGCCTTTAGAGGTCAGTCTCAACCCTGACCATATTGGTCACTTCATTCCCTTACCTTTAGTTACCGGTACAGCCTGGTGTGGTGAGTATCACACCTGACCACATTGGTCACTTCTCTTACCTTCAGTATCTGTCTCTGTGAGGCCAGTTTCACTCCTTAGTGTATCTATGAGTCCTGTGAAACACAAAATATCCCGATCCTGGATACTGTTTTCTGTATTGATTTGGTAAGCCCTGTCAGTCTGGCCGTCGCCCTCGCTATCCGAAACCCCAGACTGATGACCAGTGGTGGTGTCAGCCTCAACCTCTGGACAACAGGAACATGGCCTTTGTGCCCCGCCTTCCTCGTGACATTTTGCCTTCTTATTCTCCGTGTGGTACTTCAGACCATTAGCACTGCAGGCAAACATACACATCCAATATATACATGAGTTAAATATTGTAATGACAAGTATCTAGATAAATTACGTAGAGTTTATACACTACAATGTAGACATAATTAAGAAAGAACACTATTTAACATTTTATCACAGAGGCCATATAAAGAGTCTTGTTCACAAGTGCACTGTGACAGATTTAGAGAACCCAAGAGGCCCAGATCATATATAGTTGCCAACAAAGAATGTGGGTGGGGGTTTGAATGAGTTGTGACACCAGTGACAATGGAACTGTTGGTGTGTGGCTATGGTGATGTAACTAACCTTTTGAATGAGTTGTGACATCAGGGACAATAGAACTGTTGGTGTGTGACTATGGTGATGTTGCTTACCTTTTGAATGAGTTGTGACATCAGTGACAATAGAACTGTTGGGGTGTGACTATGGTGATGTAACTAACCTTTTGACTGAGTTGTGACACCAGTGACAATAGAACTGTTGTGTGTGACTATGGTGATGTAACTAACCTTTTGAAGGAGTTGTGACACCAGTGACAATGGAACTGTAGGTGTGTGACTATGGTGATGTAACTAACCTTTTGACTGAGTTGTGACACCAGTGACAATAGAACTGTTGTGTGTGACTATGGTGATGTAACTAACCTTTTGACTGAGTTGTGACACCAGTGACAATAGAACTGTTGTGTGTGACTATGGTGATGTAACTAACCTTTTGACTGAGTTGTGACACCAGTGACAATAGAACTGTTGGTGTGTGACTATGGTGATGTTGCTTACCTTTTGAATGAGTTGTGACATCAGTGACAATAGAACTGTTGGTGTGTGACTATGGTGATGTAACTAACCTTTTGAATGAGTTGTGACACCAGTGACAATGGAACTGTAGGTGTATCTCTATAGCTGTGTTCCTAACCTTTTGATAGAGTTGTGACACAGGTTACAATTTAACTGTTGGTATGTGAATATAGAGGTGTTACTTACCTTTTAAATGAGTTCTGACACAGGTGAAAATAGAACTGTTGGTGAATGACTACAGCGGTGTTACTTACCTTTTGAATGAGTTGTGACATCAGTGACAATAGAACTGTTGGTGTGTGACTATGGTGATGTAACTAACCTTTTGAATGAGTTTTGACACCAGTGACAATAGAACTGTTGGTACGTAACTTTGGTGATTCTACTTACCTTTTGAATGAGTTGTGACACCAGTGACAATTGAACTGTTGGTGTGTGACTATGGTGATGTTACTTACCTTTTGAATGAGTTGTGACACCAGTGACAATAGAACTGTTGGTACGTAACTTTGGTGATGCTACTTACCTTTTGAATGAGTTGTGTCACCAGTGACAATAGAACTGTTTGTGTGTGACTACAGTGGTGTTACTTACCTTTTGAATAAGTTGTGTCACCAGTGACAATAGAACTGTTGGTACGTAACTTTGGTGATGCTACTTACCTTTTGAATGAGTAGTGACATCAGTGACAATAGAACTGTTGGTGTGTGACTACAGTGGTGTAATACTTACCTTTTGGACGAGATGTGACACAGGTGACAACTATGGTGATGTAACTAACCTTTTGAATGAGTTGTGACACCAGTGACATTAGAACTGTTGGTGTGTGACTATGGTGATGCTATTTACCTTTTGAATGAGTTGTGACATCAGTGACAATAGAACTGTTGGGGTGTGACTACAGTGGTGTAATACTTACCTTTTGGACGAGATGTGACACAGGTGACAACTATGGTGATGTAACTAACCTTTTGAATGAGTTGTGACACCAGTGACATTAGAACTGTTGGTGTGTGACTATGGTGATGTAACTAACCTTTTGAATGAGTTGTGACATCAGTGACAATAGAACTGTTGGTGTGTGACTACAGTGGTGTAATACTTACCTTTTGGACGAGATGTGACACAGGTGACAATGGAAATGTTGGTGTGTGACTACAGCGGTGTTGCTTACCTTTTGGACAAGTTGTGACACCAGTGACAATAGAAATGTTTGTGTGTGACTACAGCGGTGTAACTTACCTTTTGAATGAGTTGTGACACAGGTGACAATAGAACTGTTGGTACGTAACTATGGTGATGTTACTTACCTTTTGAATGAGTTATGACACAGGTGACAATGGAACTTTTGGTTCCTGCGACTATGGCTGGTGTTTCTATGGTACTTGAGTCCTGGCAGACTTGTGAAGGCTTTGTCACAGCCCTTGGTCTCACAACGGTGCTGCTTCTGTGTTGTCATGTCACCATGGGAACGCTGTTTAAACTGCTGCATCCGTTGTGTCACTATCGGGGTCCTTTTAGAGTGTGATGGCCCCTTGGCCTAGAAATTAATCAACACTCATTGTTTTTATGTAATTGTTTGCTACAAAACCACACTCATAAAACAAAAGCTTCATTGACAATTTGTATATGAATATATATGTAACAAAATCTAGTCAATTATAAATTTGAGGTCATAAAAGCAGGCCCAAACTTTAATTATCTGTTCAGACCAACTTTCTTTTCACTGAAGTAATTATTCATCCAGGTCTTGTGATAAGTTCAAACAGCAAATACTTAACAGTGATGGTAGTGCTGCAATTTTATGCTAAAATAAGATAACATGAATATTTTTAAAAATTGCTGAGGATATACATGTACTTAAAATTTCGTAGGTTTGAAGTTTGAGTTTGAACAAACAAGTGCTTAGTAGTTTGACGAATACAACACAAAATCTTGGCTATTAATAGAGGCATATCCAATTGGGGGCTGTCACAAGAGTATGTGACACCCGGGCCCCCTGCCAATGACTAAACATAATTAATGTTATATATAGACTGCATCTATCATGTGACCACAGACTTAGATAGCATTTAAATTTGTGGTGTGACACCCCAGTCCCGCCAGCTCCTTTTGGTGTGGTCGCACCCTTACATTAATATATGCACATTAATATTTCATGATTTAGATTATTCTGATCGTAACAAGCTTATCGGAATTATATATTTTTATTTCTGGATTGGCAATTTTAGTTGTTATTAATTACACTGCCCAAGCCCCCCTCCCCCATTATCCCCCCTTTCAGTGTTGAAAAATTGACACTATTATTGATATCACACCTCTTGAAAAAAAGACTGCACCAAGACTCGGGTATCTGTATGTAACTGAATGTACACCAATTTAACCTCATGAAGGTATTCAGCCCCCCTCCAACTAGGAAATACCTTACTTCCAAGTATGGACACATTTCCTTGGACAGTCTACCAAACCAAAGTTACACCTTCAGACAGATCTAGCCAACTAAATAATGACTGCTGATAAAATTATCTGATACTATTAATTAAAACTAATAGTTTAATTGTAGCTTTCGTAATTTTTTGGGAACATTTTCTGTTAACTGTTTTGAATTACAAAAATCGTCTTATACTGCAACAAGGAGGCACAACAAGATCATTGGTAGACAAGTTTCCCCTGTAAGGGCCTCTGGGACGATTTCACCTCAGCAGGACGCGCGCGACAGTGCAAAGAGAAACGTGCCAATTACGTTCGGTTTGACTGTCGGCATAGCCGTTTCATATTTATATGTTAACCGTGTGGTCGTCCATCTGTCATTAAAAGTAAGGGTGCACTGGTAAGCCAACGCAATTCGTAGTGAGGAGAACTTTTTGCTGGTGTTACATTTAAAAATCACCTGTTTATCGAAGTTGAAGAAAATAAACAACGTTACGGTGACCCCGAACCAGAGGAGGGGGTGTCAGTGTCAAGTCCGTGATGTTTCTGATAAATTTACACACTGTGATTGCCTAACAGTAAATAATGACCACGTTTCCGTCATCTGTAGCATACTTATAACATACCGTGTCATTAAAAAGTACAAATTTCAAATCAAAAACATCTGAAAATCGACGTAGTAAACTTGTTTAAGTTGTACTTACTCCAATCGACGCCATCTCTTCTGGGGCCAGATAGATTGACCTGTAGTAGAATTTCATTGGCTGCTTCATAAAGGTCGCACGGTTTGATTGGACGATGCGAATGGCTTATGAATATTAATGAGATTTGATTATCTCATTATCTAGGAGCGTGACGGACCTACAGGTAGGGTGATGACAGGCGAGCAACTTGCACCAGCTCGACGAAGGGACGCCGGTCTGCAACTCTCAAGCATGTGTTCTTCAAGTTCAAAAGCAAATTTAAACTTAGTTGTCGATGCATTTGAAAGTCGCCCTGTTGATAAAGTTCGATTTTCAACACCGACTTAAACGTGAACTGAGTCAGCTGTTGTAAAAAAATTAAAAGACGGATAAGTTACCGTTAGGGGCACAATTGGGGTACTCGGTGGAGAAAAATAGATTCGTTCAAGTCTACGGGCTTTTTTTTAAATATTTGAAAATTGTGTCTGCATAATTGATAATTGCGCTTGTTTAATGATTGCAAACCATTTAAAATCTATATCCTGATGGATGGAATAAGTGACAAATACTAGTAAAAACTTACGGGTAATAGTCCAATATTTGAATTAAACAGGTTAGTGTCATTTTTTAATTGAATACGACTTACCTCCCTTCACCTATACACGTATGTACATGTAACTATACTGAAAGAAAAAAAACTTTCTTCTGAAAAATATTTGATCTCATGACGATCAATAGATAACAATCTATACATAAGTCCAGATGTCTTATCACCTAAGTTTCTGTTGACTTTTGGCAAGATCATGCGGCAAGCATTCGTTTCAAGTACAGGTACACATCGCGACAGTGAGAAAAAATACGATAATATGATTGATACAAGAAAAAGTCTGAAATTTGACCTTGCATAAATATTACTGATGAGAGAGAAATACAGTGATTATATGGTGTCAGAACAATAACGTTAATAATATGTATACATGGTATCGGACTTATAGTTTTGGCTCATGGTAAGAACCTTTAGTAAAAATTTCTCGAAAAATCCCTTAAAATTTATTTGAAAAACTATATAACCTATCATGCTATTTAATCAGAGACGTATGGCTTTATATGTCTCTGATTTAATGAAGCCAATGTAATAGGTTGTTCTGGATGTATGCATGGAATTAGAAAGGCCGTTCAATCGGCAATTAACATTGTTTTGCGCGTTAATCTACTTCTTTAAAGCTTTTACTATGATGCAAATTTTGATAGCAATGACTTTTCATAAAGACGGAAGTTTATCGGGGCAAGATTTTGAATAAATATATCAATGCTGATGTAAATTATGTAAATAGCAGGACAATGCTTCCTCGCTAGGGTATAGCTTATATATCATTGTACATCTTATCACTATAACACGCGCTTTGTTTACCGAGCACCTGTGATCCTCGGGTATGTTTGTTTTTGCATAGGTCCTTCAGCTACCCTAACTACTGGCCCGATTTACGCGTAACAGGTACCGATGAGGACAGCCAAACACTATCTGTACCAGCTGAGGTCGGTAAGGTCCAGGAACTAACGCAGAGCCATGGCGGAAACAGACGACAGAAAACCGTACACGAGCAGCGGCAGTCTCACGTTTAGGGATGGAGAATTTATACTTGACCGGAAACCTCTCCGCATTCTCAGTGGTACCATGCACTACTTCCGAGTGGTGCCCGAGTACTGGGAGGATCGCCTCTTCAAAATGAAGGCATGCGGGCTCAACACTGTGGAAACGTGAGTAGGAATGAGCTCAAAATGTGCCGATGATCATGTATACATTGTATCTCTTAAGTTTGTATACACAGTATGTGTTTAATACGATCGAGCTTCAAGATCATGCCGCTTATTCCCTATATCTCGTCTGTAGACTTGTGTTTGACTATGCATTTTTACAAAAACGCCATTTGTTTATCACTGTAATGCACACATGAAAATAGCATGAACACTCAACATATAAGTGTATAAAAGTCTGAACAAAGTATAACAATGAATCATAGCTATAGTTCAATGGACATGCGAGTAGATCAATGGGTATCCTTACCTACTACAGCTTAATGAGTGGCACGTGGGTATATTTTGTTAAGATATAAGCAGACTATACACTTTTCTTATCTTGGTACAAACATTTAACGATTTGGCGCCTGCCGTTTTGTAGTTTTGTTGGGCCTTAAACACATGAATGACATGTGGAGGAATTAACTTGTTTTATTACATTTCCAAGTGAGATATTAGAGGTTATCTTACTATCAGCCGGAAGTAAAACGGATATGGCGCGTGTGGTGTATGTAAACACAACCTATATATAAGTTATCACATGACCATTTCCATATCCTCCCCCGTATCAACGAGATACCTCCATACCATCCCGAGGGTTGATATGGGTAGAGGGATTTTAGGAGTAGGATATGGAAAGGGTCTTTTATCATATATTGTTCACACTGTGGCAGACATCATAAATTATGTTTGTCATAATGTAAAGATATGAAGCTATCACTTTTGGTTCAGAGCTCGAGAGTCCCTGGTTAGAATCCTGGTCTGGCCGGAGATGATATTTCACACTAGATAACACTATTAGACAATGAGAAGACGTTCGTGGGCTTTGAACATTTTCACTAGATAACAATAATGGAACACGAGAAGAAGTTATGGGCAGTAGCAAACAGTTGTATTATGCTCCGATTGATTAACACGCACAGCCATTCGGGAAATATTTCTGTGCATGAGCATTTTCCATGACCTCCTCTCGTGCGTTATGAGAGGCGGAAATTGTTGATACTTTGAAGCTCCATCTTTTTTTCTCTTATCGACTGTATATATTTTATCGGCAGTATTTCCTTAGACACATCTGGTTTTCCAGCTATTAAGAAAAATGACAACGGATGGGGTATCGCCCTGCTGTGGGTTATGCTATTTAATTAGTATGATGTCCAAGAGCACTCCTAGAGGCATACCGTTTCCCAAGACATCAGGAAGAGGTCACAGAGATGACTTAAACCTGGTAAATAGGGTGGGTGGTCAACATGTACTACATTCTCTTGCTTCTGTGGGATGAAGCATTGTCACGAATTAGCTGGATGCCATTCAACCCTTTACTTGGACGCTTTTTCATGTTACAGAATCTTTAGCCCGATTCTGTAGCCCGAGTTTCCTCTGGCCCTGACACCAGACTTAGACATCCCACACCAGACATCTATCTGTCAAAATGTCTAAGTCTGATGTCAGGGCCAGAGGAAACTCGGGCTACAGAATCCTTTTACAGGCTTCAGTATTTCAACTCTGTAAAACTTGGCATTGCTAGTTTTCTCATCCTTCCATGGCATCTGAACCAAAGGCCCACTAGAACTGAAAAACAAATGGCACACACAACTTTATTGGGGCTCTCCACGTCTTGCAATCATTGTCCTTTCTCGATTTCTCAACAACCGCTTGTTATTAATACATTAATACACCTATTGGATTCAACGTAATAGGCACAGGTCTCATCTCATGGAAACAGTTCTTGTGCATGTACCTCTTTTGGCTGTTTATGTAAAAAGCACACAGTGAGTGTATTTTATATTAGGTCTCAACCTTCATCTGAGCATTTAAAGGTAGCCACTAGTCACGACTTCATACCATTCAGCAATGAAAAACTTGTTCAATTCTTGTCGGAAATTTTGCATGTGCATTGTTCTTTGAATTCTTTTGCAGTCTCCCAGGGCGCTAAACTATTTAATTGTCTGTTCGGGACCTGCGTGGTGACAGAATTTACTGTGAAGGCACTCGTACGTTGTTGTGAAGACGTACTTTCTGAAACAAGTAAAATATTTTCCTCACAGTTGAAAAATTGGAAAGTTTGAAGTGGGTATAGGTTAGGAGCATGCTCTCCAGTTGACAATATAGGACTGCTTTATGGGAAGACAATGTCGGTTATGAAACTCCACACTAGTTAATAAAGTTAGTCTGTTAAAAAAAATGGTCATCATTAGTTGCGAGATGTTTCCCCGTGATGACACTATTGGGATGATACAGGGTTAAATAGCAGCATTTCTATATGAGTCGGTCTCGAATCTTTCTTACTGGATACCCTTACTTTCTATGTTTCAGGTACGTGGCATGGAATAAGCACGAAGAACATCCGGGCAAGTTTGATTTTGAGGGTATACTGGACATCAGGTACGTATTGCTACGATGAAATCAAGTTAACGACAGCTTCTCTTCTGTAGTTACTCGTTTTACCTGATTTGTTAATCAAACTTTTCTTTTTTGAACACTTATCCTCTGCTCACGCTACCGATCGCATTTTCCGAAATTTTCGAATTTTGAGCACTAATTACGAAAAAGAAATAAGCTCTTAATTATGCGAAACTGTTTTGAGAGAAATAACATTTTTCAAATCAACAACATTCCAACCTCTTTGTCCTATATGTACCATCATTTTAATTAAGATACAGTGTGGCATAGCCATCTCGGAGGATCAGGTCACAGGTGTGCACGTTTACGATGCAACAGCGTTTACAAGTCGGGTTCATTTAAATGTTTGAATATGCCACAGGTACCTCTGTAACAACACACTAAATCTAAATTAATTGAAACAGCAAAGAACCACGTATTCCGTGCATAGCGAGGAAATTTGCATTTAACACATTTGTATCAGCCAGATACCTGTTGATAGGTCATTAGGTATGTATCAGTTCGCTCTTAAATTCGTAGGTATGTATCAGTTCTAAAATTCGTCTGCCATGATATTTCAGACAGCTAAACGTGCAACCTTTACCTAAAGTTGTCAATTTTTTACACTCTCGAACCAACCGTAGTTTAACATTATAACCTTAGTAAAACATTATTAACTATTTGCAATACGGTTGATCCTTTTTGTGACAGAGAAACATATAAGGCCATTGTATATATACAATGTACATACACATGTATATGACAGAAAGCAGCTTTAACATTGTCACAAAAGGGCTATACAGGAGAAGGATACAGCAACACAAAGAGACAGGACAAGGTAAAGATTTAATATATATATCATCTGAATGAGGCATACGGCAGGATGTTTTTTGCCAAATCAGGTAAATATTCACAAATATCTTTAAACAATACGAGTTTTGTCGATTTGAATCAAGATCGAAAAGCACAAGGTGTTTTATGTCTATAACCTTCCATGACAGCTAGACCGTGCGAACAGAAACCAGAGAAATATGAGGGAGGTACGGCAGTCTCGTGGTAGAACGCCGGGCTCGTGACCGAATGGTTGCAGGTTCGAGTCACTGCTAGGCCGGCACGGCAGGGCACTGTGTTGTATCTTTGAACAAGATACCTTGCTCCGATTGTTCCAGCCTACTCAGCTGTAAGTGAGTTCATGGTTGGGCAGTGCTCGAATTGTTGAATACTAGCTGTGAGCTCCAAAATGGCAGAACCGACTGTATATACAGCTCCCTATTGAGTTGAGAAAGATATTGGCTGGTTGCAAAGGCAACCACGGATAATAATTAGTGAACCGCTTTGAGACGACCTACAAACTAAGTTGTGATAAAGCGGTATATAAGAACCTCAAATTGTTATTATTATTATTAGTGACGCCAGTGTGTTTATGTTTCCAGGAAGTTTGTACAAGTGGCCCAAAAGGTTGGATTATACGTGATATTCCGTCCCGGGCCATACATTTGTGCTGAGTGGGACCTCGGTGGACTGCCAAGGTAATCGAATATTCCTTCATCAATATCAAAGTATAAAACACCTTTATATATAATATGTATAGTACGCTTTAATTGCAACATATGATGTTCCATAAAATTAAATTCATATAGGCCTACATGTATCAGTTTGCTCACTTCTCTTGTACCGAGTAGTGTTTTGGATTAACTATCTTCTGCACAATCTGATATTATATTAAGTAAAGTTTATATCTTGTTACAGTATGGTAGTGTAGTACACAAATAGATATCTTGTTACATTTTTTTCTAAAATCTGAGTTAGTTGATACCTCTTAGTCTAATCTGTATATTATTGTGACATCATGGAGTTTGTACACATGTAATTCTTTTATGTGTTTGCGTAGTCACTTAACATTGATATACCCGTGGATCGTGGCGCGTGTTACTGATATATAACGATGTCATTTCTTTCGATATTCATATTTGGGAAGTGGGGATTTCAACAAAACACTTAAGTGTTGAAATTGGAGGAATCTGAGACTGCGATACAGGTTTACTTCAATCATTTCAGTTTATTTTGTGTCTCAATGTTTGTGAATGGAAACAAATTCTTTTGTTCATGATTTTAAATTCTTACCTTATAATTAATGTACAGCTCTCCGAATCGTCACTGAAAAAATATAAGGAATTCTAAGAGAAATCGAATTTGAAACATTCAACTATTCACATCTACGGCAAACTTGTTATTTAAAGTAGAAGTCGATCGCTTATTCTTGCTTTTCTATAGCTGTCTTTGTTTATCTGAATGAGCGCTGAATAAAATAAAGTAAACATGTAGATACATTTGTATTTCTTATTCACAACCTCAAAAACCTGGAAAACAAATCAGATCTGATACTACTTAGTTCACAATTGTTGTTTCAATCATCAGCACTTTCGTACTTTTCGTTAGCTTTCCCTCGATTGTTTCTCTCGTTCAGCTGGCTGCTTGCCGACGAGAACATGAAGATCCGTAGTAACTACAAACCTTATCAAGAGGCTGCTGACCGATTCTTTGCGAAACTTTTACCTTTAGTCGCAGATCTACAGGTGAGTATGTACGGTTTTAACTTTTAGTCACAGATCTACAGGTGAGTATGTACGGTTTTAACTTTAGTCGCAGATCTACAGGTGAGTATGTACGGTTTTAACTTAAGTCGCAGATCTACAGGTGAGTATGTACGGTTTTAGCTTAAGTCACAGATCTACAGGTGAGTATGTACAGTTTAAACTTAAGTCACAGACCTACAGGTGAGTATGTACGGTTTTAACTTTTAGTCGCAGATCTACAGGTGAGTATGTACGGTTTTAACTTTAGTCGCAGATCTACAGGTGAATATGTACGGTTTTAACTTAAGTCACAGATCTACAGGTGAGTATGTACGGTTTTAACTTAAGTCGCAGATCTACAGGTGAGTATGTACGGTTTTAACTTAAGTCACAGATCTACAGGTGAGTATGTACGGTTTAAACTTAAGTCACAGACCTACAAGTGAGTATGTGCGTTTTAGACAATTTTACCTTTAGTCGCAGATCTACAGGTGAGTATGTACGGTTTTAACTTAAGTCACAGATCTACAGGTGAGTATGTACGGTTTTACCTTTAGTCACAGATCTACAAGTGAGTATGTGCGTTTTAGACAATTTTACCTTTAGTCACAGATCTACAGGTGAGTTCGTACGTTTTAGACAATTTTACCTTTAGTCACAGATCTACAGGTGAGTTCGTACGTTTTAGACAATTTTACCTTTAGTCACAGATCTACAGGTGGGTATGTGCGTTTTAACTCTAGTTACAGATTTACAGATGTTACGTATAGTTTAGCTTGTCCAGTATGGATGTACATACCACATGCGGGTATGGGTGTTCTACAGTGGGTATGGGTGTTTTACAAGTGGGTATGTGTGTTTTACAGGTTGGTAAGTGGGTATGGGTGTTCTACAAGTGGGTATGTGTGTTTTACAGGTTGGTAAGTGGGTATGGGTGTTTTATAGGTAGTATGGATGTTTTACAGGTAGTATGGTTGTTTTACAGATTCATATACTTGTAGTAAGTGTTTTATAGGTAGGTGTTGATGTATATTGAGAGGTGCGTGGATGTGGTTTGCATGAATCTTACGTTAGTGAACGTGTAATGGATGTTTGTTAACCTTTAATTAAATATGCAGGTATGCATGTTAACGGTTAAACGAAACTTTCATTTCAGGTAAAACCTCCGTGGGTTTTTGCCGTAGGAGGTTTTACCTTTAATGTGTGTCTTCAGTATGTTCATCGATAAATTGACAAATAAGTATGGGTGTTACATGGTGATAAATACAGACGTCCGTTAAAATTTATCATAACCGTATGCTTCAAAAAAATCGGTAGCCTGTTTATGTCCTATACAAATTTTAAGCCAGTTTAATTGGACTAGAGCAACTTCAATCTAAAACACAATTAGCTCATGCATACCTATGTTGGAATGTAACACATTAGGGACGTAGATAATTTAGAACATTCGTATAATATCGTAAGATATCGTATAATGAATTACTCCACTGACCGACCGATCTTTTACATGGAAGTTGTAAAGTCCACAAGGAAATGCTTAATGAAACTAATAACTTGATAATGAACTAATTATTGTTTGTTAATTACAGTATTCCAAAGGAGGTCCTATAATAGCTGTCCAGGTAGAAAACGAATTTGGTTCTTACAGTGACGAGGTAGAGCATCTCGTCTTCGTGAAAGAGGTAATTTGTGAAGAATAACCCCAAGATGGGCGCACGTACTAGCAGGTTATCTACTTTTCAGCGTTATGTTTTAATTCAGTCTCTAGGTCACATGAACGTACTTTGCAGTCATTTATAGCTTTAAACATCAAAAGAATTGCAACAGATTTATATTTTGTTTTAAAATGGCGAATATGTATTATAACTGCGAAATATATATAAAAATAATCTTACTCGGGGGAGGGATATGTTCACTCCCTTTGAGATAGAGCAACTGATGGAAATCCTATATTTGACCAACTTTTAATTAACATTTAATGTATTGTCTATCTGTGATTAGAAGTTTGTAACTTTTTTATATATTATTTTCAAATTAGTAGTTATTTGCGAAATCGATCTGTTCAATAATTGATGGCTCATCAAGCCAATAAGGAAATTTCAAACCAGGCACAAGAAACTAAGTGCAACCTAACGCGCGTGCCAAAAGAGGCACTGGAAGATCACAAATACGTATATATGTATTATAATGAGTACAACACATCATTTGTCGGTCTCCACTATGTCTCTGAAGCAGAAGGCACGGAAGCAAATAATATATAATAGGTAGTAGGATCTTCTTCCATAAATGATGTAGTATTCCTCAACATGGAGTAAAACAGAAATTATAATTCTTGTTATCGGTTTAACTACTTGGGACTTAAACTCTGATGTTAATATGAAGAAACGTTAACTAATCATCAGTTGGATACAACATAGATGTTGTGCCAATGTTTTAAAACGAAAATTAACAATAATTTGTTATTTAAGTTGCTGATGAAGTATGGAATGGAAGAACTGTTCCTCACGTCAGAAAACATATTCGGGCTGAAGAGAGCGGCTTTCTATCAACGTAAGAACTTCATTAAATAATATATTGTACCAGTACTGTTCGTCATCTAGCAAAACATTGATTTCTGGATTGCCTGTGTTTCCGTTTGACACCGAGATGTATATGAATAAAACAAACTGATATGACAAGTGTTAAGAATCTGTATTAATTTATATATATTTGCATTAATGGGTAGAAACCGACTTCAGCGGTTTTAATATATTAACACATGTAATTATATTTTCGTTAGATGCTTTGCCGACAGCGAATTTCCCGGAAATGGGTGACGGTAAGAAACTGTTTGATATGATCCGAGAGTGGAGTCCAGATTTCCCGCTGATGGTTATGGAGTTCTGGCCGGGTTGGTTTGACCATTGGGGACAGGGACACAAAGGCCTGGCAATACCATGTAAGTGAAACAACAGTATCGCAACCAACACTAAAACTTAGACAGTTTCCAGCAATACCATGTAAGTGAAACAACAGTATCGCAACCAATGCTAAAACTAAGACAGGTTACAGCAATACAATGTAAGTGAAACAACAGTATCGCAACCAACGCTACAACTAAGACAGTTTCCAGCAATACCATGTAAGTAAACAACACTATCGCAACCAACACTAAAACTAAGACAGGTTCCAGCAATACCATGTAAGCGAAACAACAGTATCGCAACCAACGCTAAAACTAAGACAGTTTCAAGCAATACCATGTAAGTGAAACAACAGTATCGCAACCGACGCTAAAACTAAGACAGTTTCCAGCAATACCATGTTGGTGAAACAACAGTATCGCAACCAACACTAAAACCAAGACAGTTTCCAGCAATACCATGTAGGTGAAACAACAGTATCGCAACCAACACTAAAACCAAGACAGTTTCCAGCAATACCATGTAGGTGAAACAACAGTATCGCAACCAACGCTAAAACTAAGACAGTTTCAAGCAATACCATGTAAGTGAAACAACAGTATCGCAACCGACGCTAAAACTAAGACAGTTTCCAGCAATACCATGTAGGTGAAACAACAGTATCGCAACCAACGCTAAAACTAAGACAGTTTCCAGCAATTCCATGTAAGTGAAACAACAGTATCGCAACCAACACCAAAACTAAGACAGTTTCCAGCAATACCATGTAGGTGAAACAACAGTATCGCAACCAACACTAAAACTAAGACAGGTTCCAGCAATACCATGTAAGTGAAACAACAGTATCTCAACCAACGCTAAAACTAAGACAGTTTCCAGCAAAACCATGTAAGTGAAACAACAGTATCGCAACCAACACCAAAACTAAGACAGTTTCCAGCAATACCATGTAGGTGAAACAACAGTATCGCAACCAACGCTAAAACTAAGACAGTTTCAAGCAATACCATGTAAGTGAAACAACAGTATCGCAACCAACGCTAAAACTAAGACAGTTTCGAGCAATACCATGTAAGTGAAACAACACTATCGCAACCAACGCTAAAACTAAGACAGTTTCGAGCAATACCATGTAAGTGAAACAACAGTATCGCAACCGACGCTAAAACTAAGACAGTTTCCAGCAATACCATGTTGGTGAAACAACAGTATCGCAACCAACACTAAAACTTAGACAGTTTCCAGCAATACCATGTAAGTGAAACAACAGTATCGCAACCGACACTAAAACTAAGACAGTTTCCAGCAATACCATGTTGGTGAAACAACAGTATCGCAACCAACACTAAAACTAAGACAGTTTCCAGCAATACCATGTAAGTGAAACAACAGTATCCGACCAACGCTAAAACTAAGACAGTTTCAAGCAATACCATGTAAGTGAAACAACAGTATCGCAACCAACACTAAAACTAAGACAGTTTCCAGCAATACCATGTAGGTGAAACAACAGTATCGCAACCAACGCTAAAACTAGGACAGTTTCCATTATCGCAGTTTTACCACTACATTCTCATACTGCAACAGTACCGTTAGTCTACCGTTATCCCACGAAAAGTTTGGAGTTTTCGGTTTTACAATGTTCTAGAACTTTATGGTGGATATTTTATGTTTCTGCTGGTGAAGTGTTTGACCACTTTATAAACATAATTATTATAGTTCGTTGAAAGTTATTACAGTTAGAACAATGCATGCTGCTGTCTATCGCTGCCATGTACGGAAAATCTTATGTAGGACGTATTTTAAGTCTGCCTCTGCAGTGTTGGAGAACTCTAGGTTGAATGGACGTATTTTAAGTCTGCCTCTGCAGTGTTGGAGAACTCTAGGTTGCTTGTCGTTACAGTGCTTGTTCATGTTTCTAAAGTGTTCAAGAACTGTAAACCACATGTTTTTTTCTATTGCTACAGTGTGCCCATACCGTATGTAGCATATAGTTTATCTCACAGTGTCGCTTCAGTTTTTAAGAGCTGTATAGAATATCTTTTGTTGCTATAATATTCAAAACGATATGTAACATAAAGTATAATTGTGTCACTACAGTGTTTGTGAACGGTATAGAATATTGTGTGTTTCTTTTGCTACGGTATTTCTAAAGAGTTCGTATGTTACAATATATTTCCGTTGCTGCAGTGTTCGAGAACTGTCTGACAGGAATACTAGACGCTGGTGGCTCTTTCAACATGTACATGTTTCATGGCGGCACAAACTTTGGATTTATGGCAGGAGCGAACTTCTTCACGAATTCTACGTACAAACCCGACATCACTAGCTATGGTAAGCAGCGCTATTTTGAATTCGTTAACCTGAGTGAATACGAACAATTGCATTTAGAATACATATATTTATAATGCATACCCATAAGTGTATAATATATTTTAGCATCATTTCATACTTTTTCATTTTGTATATTATGGCTATGTATTAACAATGTAATTGAACGTGAAGACTGTCGAAGTTTAGATTTAATAAATATCGCATTGCTGTTTTTGTCTCAAGTGTTAATGCATAAAACATTAAGAAATGAACAAGTTTTAAAAGTATCGCATGTATGAACTCAAATTTCGAGGAACAGTGTACAAGACCACTAGACATTATATGTAACTAGTATAAAACTTGCTACAGTTTATTTTGTAACCTAACTGTGACGTAAACCTTTCTTCGGAAGAGAACCTGTTGTAAAACTTCTTTTATATAGGGATTCGATTGGTTAAATCAAATGTGTAAAAGGAACACTTAAATACACTTAAACTTAATTAATCACATAAAGACATCACATTGTTAGTATATTATCTCCTGAAATCCTCCATGCAGTCATCCTTAGCACGGTTGGCTTGACGGAATGAAAACCCTTTATGTCTCTTCACCGTTCTGTAGATTATGACGCCCCTCTGAGTGAAGCTGGCGACATCACGCCAAAGTTTCTGAGAGCACGAGAAATTATCTTCGAAAAAGTCCTGAAACCATTAGGTAAATATGAATTGCAATAAACTTGAACTAAATATATAATACATGTGTATGTGCATAGGAATATTGACAAAAGTAACGCCGTCTAATAAGAAACTATTTTTACTTATAAACTATTAATCTGGAAAGCATTTTGCTAACATTATTTTAAGTTTGGATATTTTTAAATCATTTTTGATTTGTTATGACTACGCACTCTTGTACTACACAGGTGTTTCTAAGATGCCAGACCTTCCGCCGAACACACCAAAGACTTGTTATGGTGAGTTGATGGAAACTTATTAATTAACATCTGAGCAATTGCAAGCGGAGAAAATGGCGTGGCCTAACTACATGACAGAGACATTCATAGAGTACTTGTATATGTCGAATCCTTTATATATTCCGCTTTGCTAATAATCTAAACCACAAGACATGAAAATGTTTGTAAGAAAAAGAACACTCTAAATTTAAAAGCTGAATTTGAGATAAAAATAACTTCACCGATAAAAGAGTTTATAAGCTGAAAAAACTACTAGTATGTCCCTGTAAACATATGATCATTTTTGTGAATATCATCGGACGGCGAGTATTTCGAATCCTGGAAATTATGTTTTTTTCAGTTTCTATAATTATCAAAATATCAACAATTTAACGTTTACTTGAGTTCGTTATTTGAAACAACAAGATTGTTTTCTTTTCCATTTATGTTTACACCATTTTAACAAATATCCATTTTATAAAGAAGAATTGTTTTGTTTTCTTTCTAGGGAAGGTGCCCTGTACACATACTATGAGCTTCAAACACATGCTGACATTTGTAAAGGTTTGTTTACACTTTTTGGTCTAGCTCAGTTTCCTCGCGACGATATGATACTTGTTCACATACACATCATTATCTTAAACATAACATGAACTTAATATCCTATATCTACTCAGATAATAAAGAATACTTATTTCAAAGTGTCTGCTGTCTATTGAAAATACTAATACCTTAGATCATCTTCGATGCTCTGGACTAACCAGAATTATGAGTCCTATTTGTCCTATTATCCTGGAACACAACAGTAAGTTTTAAAAGTCTTGCCATTGCTGTTTGCCATATCCAGAACGACATCAAGTGTTCCTCGCCAATCCCTATGGAGCTCCTCAAGATCCATGGCGGCTACGGTCAGAACTACGGTTACACATTGTATCGTACGACTTTTCCGACGGGAAAACACCTGCAGTTTGCTTCACCTCCAAAGGATAGAGCACAGGTGTGTAGACTTACATACCCACCGACACTTGTTACAAGTGGTCAACAGATATGACTAGAATAAGAACGGACGGCACCATATATAATTATATTTCAGTGTCTGCCATAATTAAGGACAATATTCCTTATGTCTAATTCTTATATCGCTCATGACTCCTATACTTTCCAGGCTATGGCAGAAGGCGAAATGGTAGATGTCATATTATTTGTTAAAATGCTTTGACGCTATAGCATGTTTTATGATAAGTAGCAGACATATAACAAAAACAGTGGTATACATATCTGATAAAAAAAAATCTTGAAATATTTGCAGTTCCGTCTACTTCTACAGCTTAAATAACGACGGTTTGACTGTGCATTAGGGTTTGCATACTTACCTAATCATAATATTATATTTTGTTACTTTGTTTTATATTTTCCAAACAAAATTGTGCAAGGCGCTGTAATTTAAACTCATATGTTATCATGGCAAAGAACAGAAACTAAAAAGAGTGTTTGATATATTTTATTGTTTCAATGGTTATTTGTTTAAGGTTTTTGTCAACGGGGTTTTCGTGCATGTGATTGACTGGCGAAATCCTGGTTTGGAAATAGACATCGCGTGCTCACAGGTATGTAAACAGACTTATGTATGTCAAACAGCGCCAATAAAGTGTATATCAAAATTTAAGAAAATAAATAATTCAGTATTTGTTGGATTTTAAAAAAAACGGTGATATCACACTCAAATGACATTCTTTGTTTTTCTATCACTGCAGGCAAGCAGCAAAGCCAGTAAGCTCCATATATCTGCCATTATTGTTGACAATGATTCCGTTAAACTGTACATACACTTTTATATACATTTTCGAGACAATTAAAATGTTTGAGTTTCATGCAACATGAACTATATCCCTACGTGGAGCAATTAAAATACTTCGATTAGTTTTGCACACGTTCTAGTTATAACGGATTATTAAATTACTCTTTAAGATAACATAGTTGACTTCCTGCAAATGTAACGTGAGCTAAATTGTTATTGTATGATGTTTAAACGATATGTATCTAACCCGGTATATATTTACTTGTGGTCGATATCTTTACTTCACAGAACACCAACACACTGGAGATACTTGTAGAAAACCACGGGCGTGTCAATTACGTCGAATTCGGACTCAATTTACTTAATGAAGAAAGGAAAGGTGATCATCAAACTTACATTGTGTCCGTAAATAAATGTACAATATTCAAGCATGTTGTCTAGCAATCGAGTGATAGGTTTGCGACATTGTATTAAACAAATTTGTCTGGTAAATTGCATTACTGTCCTTATCTTAAACAGCTTCTTACCATCACTTCTGTCTTGCTGCCGAAACGATTATCGCCTTACTGCCAACTTGTGACTAACGTGACAACCTTATTTCACTATCGTTAAATTTGCCCTATTGACTAAACAATTACGTAAGGAGGGTTGCCTACCAGCAAACCCTCTATCTTCACGTTAACATTTCACTGTCATCATGAAGTGAAGACAGGTTGATCGTGCATTAACAGATGTAATTACAGCGTTTAGAGAGGGCACTTTTGGTCTTGTAGTGACTTGGCCCATGTAGGGGAAAAAATATTCTTTAGATAGCGGTTATAGATATGTGATCTTTATGCAGGATTTACTATATCGGGATTTATCACGAGGTATCATCATAACGGGTGCCTGAGATTATTACTCTTATAGAGCACCTGCCCTCTTGCTTAATGGTGTCTTTCCTTTTGTTTTGTAATTTCGTGTTTCATGTCTTTGTCTTTTCGTATCGGTTCTGCGTTTCAATTTTCTCTCGTGCTATTATTATTTCGAATAAACTGAGGAAATGTCCATTGCTGTGGTGTTATTTATACCTGATGTTCCGTGATATGATTATATGTATAGCCCTGTATAAGCTGTAGTTATATACCCTTTATTGTGTTGTAGGATTGTCTGGGGATGTATTAATAGACGGCAAGAAATTGGAATCGTGGAACATTGTTCCTCTAGAATTCGACAAAGAATTCGTTAACAGGTAAGGAATTTTTAACTTGTATGTACAAGAGTTGTTTATTATTTGTAATTATATTTCCCTGGCTACCTGTCAAGTGTAAGGTCATGAATGCTATTTAACGTAAACTGTCAACCAATTCAATTGCATCACTCTAGTGATTTCATTTCATATTTTTTTACAAAGCTTTATACAAAGCTAGGTCAAATACAAGAACTCAACTGACGAGTTAATGTTTCAGTTTGTCATGGCCAAGGTCATCATATGACCCTTGATCATTTTTGTCACCGTTCCAGCGCTTTAATTTCTTAACAGGTTTTAAACTTTTCATCGATGAATATCAAGATATTATGACATATTGTTGAATGAGTAGAACGTCTTTTAATGTTTTTCTCTTACGAAGATAAATGTCGTTAGTATCTTGATGTATGTGATGTTTGGTACTACTATTAATAGAAATGGCTACCATTAAGCTTCCAATAAAATATCTTTACCTGCAATTGTATTTGTATCGTCCAGTGTATCCCAGTGTGACAAATGGGAAGCCACTTCCCCGTCGTCCGGTAATTTCCCAGCTTTGTTCAAGGCCACACTAACCATTGCTGACGTACCGAAAGACACTTTCCTCTGTACAAAGGTAAACCTGAATTCCGTTATTGTCATCTTTTATTACGTCTTTTAAATATACTTGTAAATGAAACGTAATATGCATTCGATCATTGGTTGAAATAAAACACAACTATCATTTTTTTCTATTTATGCATTGAACTTAAAGTGCAAAAGTTCAATTTCATTAATGCTATCTTGATTTATTTGTTTTTTTTATTTCATATCCAGGGATGGGGAAAGGGCATTGTATTCATAAATGGATTAAACCTTGGCCGGTTCTGGTGTGTCGGACCCCAGCAGACACTCTACGTGCCAGCACCACTGTTAAAACAAGGAAACAATCAGGTACAGTGTTTTACTTAGTATCCCTCGATATTAACTCACTAAATATATAGTCCTTTGTGAATCTATCATACAATCTTTCATCTTTTAATCCATTAATAAATCATCAATCGTCATCATTCCTTCCTAAACAACTTATTGTAATTATTTATTTCTCACAAATTTAAAACCACTAATTGCCATCAAACAATAAGTTATGTAATATAATCCATTCTCAATCAAACATAATCCTTTCTTAAGAAGTCATAAAACTCTTCTATAATAAATCATAAAACTCTTCTATAATAAATCATATTTTTCTTTGTCGATAAATCAAATCATTAAACCCTTTCTCAATAAAACAGATAGATCACTAACTGACATCATGTAATTCTTACTCGATAATAATAGGTCATACAATACTTCCATAAAATCAATTTAAATAATGTAAAAAATATATCACGACAAAAATTAATTTTATTCCACGGTGTCAAAGGTTAGAAATATCATTCCAGTAAAGGTATGATAAATTGTGACTTGTGTCTATCCTTACCCACTTACTGTGTAGCCCCACTGTAACACTTGATATGGATTATAACTAATTATATACATACCAATAGCCGTAACCAGGCATTTGCATTTGAAGACATTTGTATGTATGTCGACATTTGTGTGTATGTCGACATTTGTGTGTATGTCGACATTTGTATGTATGTCGACATTTGTGTGTATGTCGACATTTGTATTTATGTCGACATTTAGACATGCAGTTTTGCGACACAAAAGTGACATCCCAATAGACAAACATCATTTATTTATCTTGTTTGTAGATATTGATATTTGAACAAGAAGCTCCGGGAACGACCATCAAATTTCTTGACACCCCAATCTTGGATGAAAATGACCAGAAAAATGTCGAGAATGCCGATAAAGAATATCCGACCGGTTAAGGACTAAACAGACAGCAGTGATAGGTTAACAAGTTAAGAAATAGATTGTTTTGTCAGATAATCACGTTACCTTCAACAAATACACCTACTGATGTATGTCTGAAGCAGGTAATAAATGGACGATTTCGAAAACGCAAGTGTCTTCCGACTTTTACGTGCCATTTCAGGACACTACTATTTGTGCCATCTTATAACGTTTCATATGGCCCCATATTGATGCATTCAAAGCATAGATAACCGTCATTCGTGAAAGAGAGAAAATAAAAAATACTATTGTATCAACTTATTTAGTGTAAACATGGACGTCGTTTTTATGATTTATATCGCATGAATATTAAGATTAGTCAAGTCTCGGTCGTTATAGGAGCATATTGTTACCTGGGTGTTGTGTCAAATGCAGGTGTATTGGAAAGTATCAAAGGAAAGCAGATACAAATATTTGAATGCGTGATTGATTGTTTATAGTTTTGAGTCCATGCAACAACCAAGGTCATAGGCCACAGTTGATGAAACCGCTACCAAAAACTGTAACAGTGCATTGGACACAGTTTTGCGGGAATAGCTATAGATTTAATCAATCATTTACGAAAAGAAAACAAAGACCATGTGGAACGTTTATTAAACATGATAAAGGTAAGGTCAAAAAGTTTTAAGTGAAGAAATGCAATAGGACCTGTACAGGAACTGAACCCGGGACTTCATATCACAACACTGTCGCTCTAACCCACTGATCATCGGACCCTGCCGCTCTATACTTGTATACAAAGTAAAATTAAGGAGCAATCACTCTGTGTATGAAACAATACGGTGGAATTGTCTAGTAGTTTGCCTGCAGTGGGACAGGTGTCCATAAAATGTCTCATTGAAATGTCATAACCTGGACACAGTAGTACGGCACTAGGTATGGATACTTGTAACTCTAACAGTGGGACAGGGGTCCATGAAATGTCTCATTGAAATGTCATAACCTGGACACAGTAGTACGACACTAGGTATGAATACTTATAACTCTAACAATGGGACAGGGGTCCATAAAATGTCTCATTAAAATGTCATAACCTGGACACAGTAGTACGACACTAGGTATGAATACTTATAACTCTAACAGTGGGACAGGGGTCCATAAAATGTCTCATTGAAATATCATAACCTGGACACAGTAGTACGACACTAGGTATGGATACTTGTAACTCTAACAGTGGGACAGGGGTCCATAAAATGTCATAATCTGGACACAGTAGTACGACACTAGGTATGGATACTTGTAACTCTAACAGTGGGACAGGGGTCCATAAAATGTCATAATCTGGACACAGTAGTACGACACTAGGTATGGATACTTGTAACTCTAACAGTGGGACAGGGGTCCATAAAATGTCATAATCTGGACACAGTAGTACGACACTAGGTATGGATACTTGTAACTCTAACAGTGGGACAGGGGTCCATAAAATGTCATAATCTGGACACAGTAGTACGACACTAGGTATGGATACTTGTAACTCTAACAGTGGGACAGGGGTCCATAAAATGTCATAATCTGGACACAGTAGTACGACACTAGGTATGGATACTTGTAACTCTAACAGTGGGACAGGGGTCCATAAAATGTCATAACCTGGACACAGTAGTACGACACTAGGTATGGATACTTATAACTCTACCAGTGGGCATACTGACGAGCCTTTGTATAAATAGCTTTACGGTTTAATATTTCAATAAAAGAAATACGTAAATTAATTAAGTAATGGTGTGGCTAATCATTATGTGTGAGGAGTTATGAACAAGTGATTACTATTAGTGGTAACATCTCATTAACTAGGATGTATCTTATTTGTAGTCACATTTAAAGGTAAGTCACTTCAGAGGGTTAGTTTGATGTTTGATGCTGAGTAGAAAGTAGTAAAGCCAAAGAGTCTCCCTGGTGTGGCATCTTTCAGGCATTAGAAAGGCTATATTATTAGGCATGTGGTCATTCTGAGGGATTGAGATATAAATAGGTTAGTGGTCATTTTAAGAGACTAGTGTATTTATAGGTATGAGGTCATTACTGGGGTAAATGGGAAGGATTGCATATTTAATGAGTTGGTCAGTTGCTGGTATTAATAGATTTTCTAGCTATACATCATGATCTATTATTAGATACGACCCCTGTATTTAGTACTATGCAGTTTCCATAGTTTGTATTTAGAACTGTATCTATATATATCTTTAGTTTAACTTGTCTCTAGTTATTAGCTCACCTGGCACGAAGTGCCAAGTGAGCTTATGCCGTGGTGCGGCGTCCGGCGTCCGTCCGTCCGTCCGGCGTCCGTCCGGCGTCCGGCGTCAATATTTTACTTCCAACAACTTCTTCTCAATAACCAAACTGCCCAGGAAGATGATATTTGGTCAGTAGCATGCTAGGGTGAAGGGCTACCAAGTTTGTTCAAATGAATGACCTTCAATTATATTCAAGGTCACAGGGGTCAATTGTCTTAAAAAAACTTTAAATAACTTCTTCTGAATAACCAAAATGCCCAGGGTGATGATATTTGGCCAGTAGCATGCTGAGATGAAGGGCTACAAAGTTTGTTCAAATGAATGACCTTCACCCATATTCAAGGTCACAGGGGTCAAATATGTTAAAAACTTTAAACAACTTCTTCTCAATAACCAAAATGCCCAGGGTAATGATATTTGGCCAGTAGCATGCTGAGATAAAGGGCTACAAAGTTTGTTCAAATAAATGACCTTCACCCATATTCAAGGTCACAGGGGTCAAATATGTTAAAAACTTTAAACAACTTCTTCTGAATAACCAAAATGCCCTGGGTGATGATATTTAGTCAGTAGCATACTAGGATCAAGGGCTACCAAGTTTGTTTAAATGTATGACCTTGAATCATATTCAAGGTCACAAGGAGCAAATATGTTTAAAATATTTCAACAACTTGTTCTGAATAACCAAAAGGCTCAGGATGTTGATATTTAGTTAGTAGCATATGCTGGGATCAAGGACTACTATGTTTGTTAAAGTGAATGACTTTGACTTATATTCAAGGTCACAGGGGTCAAATTTGTTTAAAATCTTTAAACAACCTCTTATGAATAACCATGGGTCCCAGGATGTTGATACTTTGCAAGTTGCATCCTGAGATGAAAGCCTATACAATGTGTTCAACATAATGACTTTGTTCGACTTTCAATCACAGGGGTGAAATGTTTAAAAAAAAAATAACAGGGTCTTTTGAACGAATTTTAATCATAAATACTGATATTTTGCCTGTAGCTTTATTTTAGATCACTTTTAAGGTTACAAGTGTGAGTTTTATACCAGGTGAGCGATGCAGGCCCATTGGGCCTCTTGTATTAAGTATATGATGGCATCAGCTAAAGTTTAGTATGGCTTTGATTATGTATAGTATATATGTCATCGGCTAGCTTTAGTCTGGCTTTGATTATGTATAGTATATATGTCATCGGCTAGCTTTAGTCTGGCTTTGATTATGTTTAGTATATGATGTCATCAGCTAGCTTTAGTCTGGCTTTGAGTATATTTAATATATGATGGCATCAGCTAAGTTTAGTATGGCTTTGATTATATTTAGTATATGATGGCAACCAATTTTTCCCAGTTCCAAAGGACCAATAAAGCATTCCAGCCAAGTTGACTGCATCCTCGATACTCCAGGAATTAGGCTCACTTAGGTTCTTTACATCCCTAGATTATGTCATGAAAAATTTAAGGCACGAAGGAAATAAAGACCTCCACACAATAGTCAAGTACACACTATCTATACAGGTCGCAGCCAAACCATCCTCGGTAATCTAGGGGTTTGCTCCCTTACGTTCTCTGCACCCCTGGAATATGTTATGACACAATCGATTGCTCTGTATGTTTCAGTCTACTTTTTATACCATGTAGTTTGATCCTTTGATGTACACCAAAAAGAAACTCACAGCAGCATAACTGTAAAATTGACTGGCTTAACAGGGTATTTTATCGAATTTCTCATTTTTTCTCTTTTACAGTAACTTCTTCTAGGGTCTTGATTGTGCAGGTTTAATTTTTGAGATGATCGAAACATAATAACTGCCATACGGCAATCTTTAACTGGGACAGTTAAAGTTTCTTATTTATCAAGAAATAATTGATCATTCTCAAATTTCGTGTGTATGTCACTTTTGGTCCTTTATTATACATGTTAATTTTGAAACTGATCATCAGCACAAGATGGCAGCTATCCTGAGATATGTCAGTTCAAGTTTGTTTTTATTGTAAGTCACGCACGTTTAAAGGGCCGGTTTCCAAAACGGACCCTTCTCTGATTCAAATTTCCTGTTCACAGGTGGTGCATTGCCCATGCCGTTGTGGTAAAAAATCTATAAAGTATAAAGATTTAGGTCACTTGGTTTGTTTTTTATGGTTCCTCAAAGTTGTACCTTTCAGAAAATGTCTAAGTGTTGATAAAATGTGCATGTTATGTAAAATATTAATGAAAATCTAATCAAATGATGGTCACCGTAAAGAATACATTCATGGCATGATTGTGACAAAAAATCATGTTTCCATCGCGCCATTTGGCTGTTTTATGGAAGAAACAATCTCAAAAATGCCATTTTCGATGATAACATTTTAGACACAAAAACTGTGTTTTTTAGAGAATACACCCTTTTATGGGCGTTGGATGCAAACCAATTTTTATCCTATTAAACAGTACGTAATATGCTATTGATGAGAGGAAAAATCATCAAAATGTAAGTGGTGGAACATTTTCAAATGTTGGGTTGAATTAGCCTATGGTTGAATTGCCGATTTTCGACTTTCTTTAGATAATTAACAAAAAAACGAGAGTATTTGCTCGGTATGTTGAGAATATGTACACAGATATGAAAAAAAGTGAGAGAAACACTTTTTCATAAAAAAAATCCAAGATGGCTACTTCACAAGTCCCCGTGGTTGAAGACATTGGCTGACAAATAGACAGAACAACAAACAAAACGTGTTCCTTATGATTTTGGTTGGTTTTCGCATTTACGGGAGTGTTCATAGCTACGGGCGATTGTATAATACCTATATTTATAAGTTTGGTTAGTCACATGGTAACGGGGATCTTTCATATCGAGCCCCAAACATACTTTCGACATATGCACTCCGTTGCCGCATGGAAAACTATTTCAAGTTTTGTCGGAATTTCTTTACCTGTGGTTGTAATGGTCGAGGGTTTTCCAGCGTCCTGTAATACCCAAGGTAGTACAAGATACTGGAGATGTGCGCACACATTCCCATCGTTCTCTCTCCAACTGGGCACTGGCAGTAGTAGTCCTTTATTGGGGCCTCAACATCGGGTGAAACGGTGAACCGTATCCAAACGTTATATTTCGTTTGGCTTTTGTGTCGAGAATGTATTTGACATCGGAGAAGGTCTGGGGAGTGCTGGTAAAGCCACACCTCATAGTCTCCGTCATCACTTAAATGTTCGGCGATGTAACCAGGAGCCAGAGATATCTGATACGTTCCACACGTAATGGTTCTCAAGTAATCAAGATCGAGACGGGGAAACAGTACGGAAGATGCATCCATCTTGACAAACTCGGACCTTGCCCGTCTAGATAGATCCGGATCTGTCTTGACTCTCTGAGCTAAACCATTCGGTGTTGTCAAACGGTCCTTCATACGTTCAGCCATTAGCCTATCTTTGGCATCTCTCTCTGGAGATCTCTGGTAGATCGGTCCTCTAATACCATTCAGACAGGCTGTGACGGTTCGAAGCAAAGCCTCGATGACATTGATAAAGCTGTTAGACACCAATTGCGTTCGGAAGAACGTCCAGTGTTTCAGACGACCATGATAGGATTCCACAATCCACCTCGATTTGGTGATAGTTCTGTCAAGATTTGCTTGGACGTCAGAATGTTGACTTTGACCGGGTTTCAGGTATGACGGCATGCTAGCATTGAGGCCAGAGGCTTCGAGAACTGGTAGGACATCTCTAAAACCTCGGTCAACGACAACGTTGTCGTCTGGTTGTAGCCAAGTAACTAGCTTGTCCATGACTTTTTTTGTAATTGTAGCATCATTTTCGCTGCCAGTGAATGGTCCTACTGTGTCCAGAATGTAGCCATCTGGTAAGGCGATGCTCATGAATTTGAGATAGTTTCTCTTCTTCTGGCCACAGTAGGACATTCTCTGGAGCTTGTGGTCGGAGCTTTTCTGGATATAAATATAGGTGCCATCTAATATGGCAGTGGCTTTATCTCCAAAAAATGCTTCTGAAAAGACAGTATTGTGCCCGAGCAACTGTTCTCTTGTCAAGTGATCCGGACCTAGAAATTGTGGGACTATCGATGTGTCTAATGCCTGTACTATGGAGTGGAAAGTTTTGGACACACTTGACTTGGAAATTCCAAAAAGAGAAGAACACTGACTCCAGGAAATGTCGGTTTTCAGTTTTACCCAGAACAGTAATAGAGCATCGTGTGTAGTCTTGGTATATATACCAGATGAAAGATATGGGGAACAGTGCGAGTGGATTTCGAGGAACTGATCTTTGGACCAACCTGTCCAGGCCATGCATGCCGAGTCATCAAGAGAAGAAAAGCTTATTGTAAACGCAGACTGGTTCTGTGAAAGGACGTGCGACACCTCTAGGAGGTCATTAATGATTTCGGACGATTTTGATGGTAACTGAGATTCCAAGGAACCTCTACCATCAAGGACAACCTCTGTAGACGGATCTAAGTCGTTACCAATAAGGTGAATGGAGCAGACGCGGGATGAGGTGGGACACCACAGTTTGTGTGAATAGATCAGGTGATGTCTTGCACGTTTTGGTAAGACTGATGATTTTGTTCCATTTCTTGCAAAGGTAACAAGACAGAGACAGCATTTTTTGTGTGAAGATGATCCATTCAAAAGATCATGAAGGGTCAGCAACGGCAGGATATGGGACGGGGAGTCGTCTTCTTCCTCTATTTCCTGGTTCTGCTCGGGTTCAGGTTCAGGCTGATTTTTGTTCCGAAGATACTTCATGTAGCACTTCTGGCAAATAAGTGCTTGTTCCTTTGCTGACATCAATCCTTGTTGCACCAGCGTATCTAGGAGCCATTTATATTGTGGACTATTTACATTGCGTGCACTTCTGTTCTTATTGCCACTACGTTTCTTGAAGTATACTTGACACCCTTCTCCAACACATTTACCCTCCATCTTGAAACAATAACGATTGGTTTATGAAGCGTCGATAAAGTAACAAAATAGCAAGCCACCGATGATTGCTGTAAACAGCTAATACTTAGTAGTTTGGTACAATTATGCGAAAATGTGTGATAAATAACGAACAACTAATTACACAAAATAACAAGACAATATAATAAATCACATTCAATACCTCCAAGAAGCGCAGAATTGATTGATTACTTAGAACAAAATAAAGTATTTCATATGGATAATCTATCTATTCGATGTGGCGTGGTCGGCAGGCACAAAGAAAGTGAGACAAGTCAGGGTCCCAACCCTGACAGAGCCACAACGCTTTGGAGATGGGACAATAAAACAAGGAAAGTGAGACAAGAATAGCTAGCGTCGAGTCAATGATTCCGTAAACGTATAGACAAAGACAAGAAGATACGGATAAATGTACAAGGCCACACGATCAGAAAATTCAGAAGAGGACAACTTGAGATAGACGGATAAATGTACAAGCCCACACGATCAGTGTAAATCTTTATATCCATACTGTTTATTTAGTCGTTACACATCATAAAACTGTCATGAAAATATCCGCTCTGATATTCAATATAAAAGTTTGTATATAATAAGCTATATAATAGGGTTTCAGACAAGGTTGTTACTCATTTCCCCTTTTCTTTCAATTTACAACCACATTCAGGCGGCGATATGAGAACGTTCCACCACATGGAATTAGCTGATTTTTGGTACACATATGAAACAAGTAAAGCTCTATCCGATTTTCTGATGGAAATTTGCATCCAAAACTATATAACGGGAGAAAATTGCAATTTTATGGCATTTTTCTTCATAATTGTGTCTCTGCAAGTGCATTTTCATCCGAAAATATTTTTTTTTATGTTTTATGAATAAACACGATGTTTTGGAAATATTTATCAAAAGAAATTTATACTATGTTGCGAATTACAATTTCGAGATAACCTTCTTTTATTTACGAACTTATGTCTTTGATGCTGAAATTGACAACTTTATAAAAATACATTTTCACTGAAATTATGAAATCTGGGTGTCGGAAAGGTGTAAAATTATTCTTCGGAAAAGAAAAAAACAGTAGTTGAGCTAGATAAGAAATTATACGGGGGCAGGCTCCTATGGAGAATTAACATTACTGGAAACAGGCCCTTTGTAAGTGTTCATAAGAAAAGATGCCTGTCACGGATTTTTTTCGGTCAGTCTCAAAATTAAACATGCACAATTAAGCAGCAAGAGGAACTTTCATATGAATTTGAAAAAGATCCGTCGAGGTCTTATTGAGAGAGAAATTGATATAGTGAATTGTTTGAGAATGGACAATGGAAACAGGACAGACGATTCCAATAGCCCATCCCAAGATAATGGTGGCTTAAAAATGTTGCTGAACTCTTTAACAAATTGATCAATTGAAGTGGGTAAAAGTAATTTTAGAAGTAAAGTTTATAGCAATTCATCAAATATAAGGACCATGGGTATTTCAGTTTCCAATTAGTTGACAGACTATGCACCAAACCATAAGCTAACAGCCATTTTTATCGGGTGAGCACAAACTCACTTTCCCCGAAGAGAAACTCTTCTCCAAATTCGTCTAATGAATCACTGTCAATTCCATAAACTGCTTCATTAGCTAACCATCACTGATCTTTTAACCATTTAAAAACCTATTTCTTTCAATTAGTGATGCACGACATTAACATACTGTAAGCGTACTTATTTTAGCACATTATCAAATTATAACAGATTGGTTCATCTTCCAAAAATGCATTGGAAACCAATATACGAGAACTTCAATTGGCACAATCATAATTTAGCGCAATATTAAAAGCACAAAAAGTGCTGAAATAAGATTACCACTTAAATCGGTATGTTTACAGCAAGTCTTTTTCTAGTGATTGCCTCTTTGCATTAATAATTTCAAAACAAAATATCAAACAAAGAACATGCCATTTATAGTTTATTGATTACTTATCATTGTCATATACGTTAGCAATGAAGAGTCACAAAACTGGGACATTCACATCAGGTGATGACAGGACATGTCAGGTACTAGTATAGATCTTAACACACAGTGCAATGTATTCAGCCAAGATCTGAACACAGTGCAATGTATTCAGCCAAGATCTGAACACAGTGCAATGTATTCAGCCATGATCTGAACACAGTGCAAGGTATTCAGCCAAGATCTGCATACAGTGCAATGTATTCAGCCAAGATCTGCATACAGTGCAAGGTATTCAGCCAAGATCTGCACACAGTGCAATGTATTTAGCCAAGATCTGCATACAGTGCAAGGTATTCAGTTAAGATCTGAACACACAGTACAAGGTAATCAGTTAAGATCTGAACACAGTGCAATGAATTCAGTCATCAAATATCATGGATAAACAGTTTAATTGTTTTGAAAGAAAGAAAAAATCTCAAGTAAAAAACATTGACTAAATTCCACTAGTAGTGATTAACTTCTAACACCAAAAACAAACAGTATCGGAATGACATAAAATCAATATACATCTTTAATTAAATTGAAAGATGCTTTATTCCTCTTTGGTTAAAGAATAAAACCTTTTAAGTAGAATGTGTCAAGAGGTAGAAATTTAAAAATGCAAATAAAATCTTGGCAGATAAATAGTGGTGATTAAGTCAAGATATGGGAAAACGGTAGAAATGGGGATGTGGTGGTCTTATATAATGTGTATGTTGGTGGTTAAATGCTGCAAATACAATGCAAATACAAGAAAAATAATAGTTTAAGTTTTTTGGAACAAATAGACAGGCTACATATTACTTGATAAAACAGCTGTTAATATTCCCAACTGATCTTTTCTATCAACAGCAAGCTTTTCTATTTGTCCATAAAAGATGAATTTGAAACAAAACCAATGCAGAATTTACAACTCTCTAAACACAAATTGTATGTCATAAAAGATATATAATCTGACAATTCCATTAACGCTAATTTGTGTTTAGAAATTCTGTCAATTTTTACCCCAGCAGTGTTGGTCACATAAAGAATATCATAAGCGTAAATGTATATACAACAGCTGATTGACTTGGTGTATGACTTGACAGTATAAACATTGAGATGTGTGGAACTGTAGCAATTCCTCAACGATTCACAAATATTCTAAATTATATTTACAGATGATATTCCTTGTTTTTTCATGAATGATTTTATCCTTAAAAGATAAATATACCCTGTATGTTGTTTTCAAAAAACAGTAAGAATGTTATGTTTATTCCAGTTTCAAATGACAAACACATTAATGAAGAGACACTGGTTAATATTGCCGTTAGCATGTCAAAGTTGTGTCGTACCACTGATTCAGTAGTCAAAATGACAATCATATGGATTCATCTTACATTAAATGTTGTCATCTGATTGGTAAGTCAGCATATTGTGAAAATTTCATATATTTTTTTAAATAACTTTTTAACTATCGGAATAATTATATAATAAAAAAAACCTTTCTGGTCAATTATTATTAAAAAAAAAGGTTGGGTAAAAAAAAATATCCCAACATCATACACATCTCTTAAATAGAAGCATGAAACTTAGGAGAAGTAAAGAAAAAGTTAGAGAGGAAGGTTTGTATGCCGTGATCATGTACAACACACATACGGAATACTTTAGTATGATAATGACTATAACAGTGATGTACCATACACAGTAAATGACTGCTGCCTTGGTACACCATACACACTACCCAATACAGACTAGATCACAAGGTAAAATGTGGGTAGGTGTTTACTAAAACAAACCTCATCGGTCAAGCACCAATCATTGAAAAAAATAACAACTTCATAAAATAACTTACAATAAAAGCATGTAATTATCATTTGATATGATATGTACAGATAAATATTGTTCGTAATAATCTCATTTCAACAGCGTTCATTTACAATGCATTATGATGAACTAGACTACATATTTACATTCGATATAATGAGACCCGAAAAATTTGTAAATCTTAATTATGAAAATACTGATTCTCATCAATATAGATTTTTTTATTTTTATTTTCAAGTACAAAAAAATAACACTAGTAAGTTATCCAATTCAAAGTACTTTGGAGATATAACCAGACACATTCTTAAAATAAAAATAAAACGTCTGTTTCTATAGAAACAGAACAATATGTCAGGATAAGTTTGTAGTTTCCTTCCCTTTCCATCAATTGGTCCTTTCAAATGACTTGTTCCTTTTATTGTGAGACTTAATGGTGAAAAATTGAAAACAAAATAGCAAAACTTTCTTTTGATACACTCAAATAATACAATACCCACCAAACCATTATTCAATGGCAAATATTTGAGATACTTACTTCACAACACATGATCAGCATTTTAGAATTTTAAAAGTTATTTGCATCTGCGAGTTAAATTTTTGATTTGATAAGGAGTTATACAGAAAAAAGTGAGGAAGTTCAGACTGCCCGCGGACAGGGTATAACATAGAACCAATAAAACCACACACAGTGTACCACTAGCACTGATCCTTACACTCCACTCATTATCACTTCAACAGTGGCAGAAACCATACACACAAATATAACAAGTCCTGCTGGGAACAAGCAAATAAATGGGGTGTAGCATTAACAATTACAATTCAATATATAACTCCTCTTCAACAAACACTAATATCACAAACAACGAGGTCTCTTAATGATCCTACAGACTTCTGGAGGGAACACAGAAGTTGTTAGGGAGATGACCTCACTCACATTGAGTTCCTTTACATGTTTAGCAGGTATCACAATCAGGGATACAATTTCTGCGTCAAATGTTTTTAACAGAGTTTCTGTTCAAATACATAGTGAGAATGAGTAGCACTAGTTTGGAGATGGCAACCAAGAATTTCACACAGATTCGGATGAGATGCTAGTGCTGTATATCTAACTACTCCGTCGTCGTCGTCGTTGTTGCCGAAGTCGTTGAAGTCGTTGAAGTCTTTGATGTCTTTGATGTCGTTGAGTCCTGTGCATCCCCTTCCTCACGTCTCACACCATTTAGAGTCTTCTGAATGGACTGGAGCCACTGTCGCTTGTCATGCTCGTCTGTAGCAGTCAAAGTGTGTGACTGGCCCTTGTTGGAGTCTTGGAAGGACAATCGGAACACATTCTTTGCTGAAAAGGCAAAAGCAGTTGTCAAAATAGTAATAAGACAATTAACAAAAATTGTTTATTAAACATTTTTCATCATATTAAAATGGTATTTTATACAGTACACATATTTTTTTCAGTTCGTTTTTTGCATTCCTTCCACCTCTCAATAAAATCAACAAAATAAATCAAATATAAGTATGTACCTTTTATATGTAGTATGTAAAATTATGTTTTCTATTGAATAAAGTACACTGTAAACATCAATTTAGGGTAGTGTTATTTTCACAATTTTTAAAACACCATGAAAACAAAAACATGAATAGTTTAATTCAAATTTAGACTTTCTATTTCTATAACTTAATCAATTCAATTTGATCATTTGAAAATTATATCGCTAACACACTTTAAAAAAAATACAACTTACTTGTCTGTCCTGAACCAAAGGTTTTTCGGAATGAACCCATCTTGACCTCACCATCCTTAAGGTCGGTGAGAATGAGCTCTTCAATAGGGATGGGTTGTCTGTACACCTGGAAGCACTGGTGACCACCTTGATTTACTGTCCGTGTCACCACCAGCACTTTGTCGAACAGGAAAATATGCAGCTTCTGTAACATAATCATTAATTCAACAAATAAGAATTTGAAGATGTAAAACTTACAGCATGCAAATAAACATTTTGTCAACAAGAAATAAATCTCTGTATTAAATACAAACAAAACTTTGTCAAACTTGGAGATGTACAATAACATCAATAATTCAATACAAACAAAATTAAGAAATGTATTTTCAGTTTTATTTCATCATTGTCCTTTCCTTTTTTGTTGAACATTTCTCAGAGCACTTGCCTATTTTAATTACTTATAATAATTAACAATTTCAAAATAATACGCTCCAAAAATTGTGATTAGAAGTAGACATTTTTTGATGATTTGCATTAGATCTTAAATAATATTCGTTATCTCAGAGTTTGAAGTATGCCTTTATTCAAGCAACTTCAGATAAATGACATTACAATAATGCAGAAACCAAAAACAAACTGAATTTGATAGCTTTCATACTTTTAATTTGAATGTTCATTTGAGTTAAAAAAGAACTTCTGATATACAATGCAATGTTCTTTTCAATCATGTCTATTGTGTAGAATATTACTTACACTGTTCTTGTTGTTTTTCAAGATTCCGTTACACACCAGCATAGAAGACTGCTCCAGGGCTTCACATTTCTGAATAATTAATAAATTTACATTGATAAATTATTATTATTCAGACAAATATCAACATCCTCCCTAGTCTCATCAACCATGATAAATGAGGTCATACTGCCAGTTACATTTTGAACTTAACAAATTGTTCAAGCTTTTATACATACACAATAGCATGTTTGATTGGCCCTCTACTCTAACTTCTATGTTAACAAATTGTTCCAGCTTTTATACATACACAACAGCTTGGACCTCTACTCTAACTTCTATGTTAACAAATTGTTCCAGCTTTTATACATACACAATAGCATGTTTGATTGGACCTCTACTCTAACTTCTATGTTAACAAATTGTTCCGGTTTTTATACATACACAATAACATGTTAGATTGGACCTCTACTCTAACTTCTATGTTAACAAATTGTTCCGGTTTTTATACATACACAATAACATGTTAGATTGGACCTCTCCTCTAACTTCTATGTTAACAAATTGTTCCAGCTTTTATACATACACAACAGCTTGGACCTCTACTCTAACGTCTATGTTAACAAATTGTTCCAGCTTTTATACATACCCAATAACATGTTAGATTGGACCTCTCCTCTAACTTCTATGTTAACAAATTGTTCCAGCTTTTATACATACACAATAGCATGTTTGATTGGACCTCTACTCTAACTTCTATGTTAAAAAAATTGAAAGTGTTACCTAATGAGTCATGTTCAATATGGAATTTTATTAATGCACTTCCAGCAAATTCATAGTAATATGGACAAATTGCCTCAACAATATCACTGCCCAACTGTCAAATCCAATATTGTTAGAACTAAGCCGCCATCAACCAACTTGATCACTACAAAAACAAGCTGGGCCATGTGAGATATATGTATCTGAACCCAAATGACCTCAGCCTTTGGTTCCAGTCAAACAGGAATGTTTCTTGTTAACATTTTGTGTTTTGAATGTTATTGTAGTATATATGGGAACTAGGGACACAAACCTACCTTCCCATTATTCAGGAAGTCATTTTATGGATGGTATGTTTTATGAAGAGCTTGACTACTTTATCAAAACAACGATAATGCTACTTTCAACAACACCGTGCATAATTATGTATTAAATATGCAAAGGGTGATACTTGTTTACTTTAGCCTGGCACAATTGTGATAAATTGAGATGTTTTAATGGAACAAATGGATTTTTTTGGCTTCAATCATGATAATATACCACGACGTCATAGACTTTAACATGTGACTTCACATGTAGGCATCAAATATGAAGTGACCCCTGACGTACCTCATCATCATACAGGAAGGAGATGCGACACCTGAAGTAGCGACACTTAGCCTCCCCAGCCATTTGGTCAGCCTCTGCAATCACTCGTTCCGATAGCTTGATCTAAAACGCAAATATTTGTTTATAAATTAGTTGTGAAAATGAGACATCACATAAACTACAATGACATTTATGTGAAAGCTATACACTACCATGTAAACAGGTCATAAACACTTTGGTATCCGCACAAATACAAAAATGCTCAGCAACGTAAAACCATGCATCCCTTTATTATGACTAACCAGATAAATTAGAGCAATTGGAAATAAGAAAATTCAGGATAGACAGGAATGTTTATTTATAATCTAACAAGACTGTTGAAAACATAGTCAGGAGAGGGGATGAAAAAAATATTACTTGATAGGGGTGACAAAACGCCACCCTGTTCATGTCTGGAAAAAGCTCATATATTTTCTGGTCAGGCAGTGTTAAGCATAATAGACTTATAAAAGAAATCTCTCGTTGAAGGAATTAAATCAATCCTGAACATCATTATATAATTCAGATTCATCTTCAATCTGTCCTGTCTTTTGTTAATGTGCCATGAGTTCTGAAAGATTTGCCATTTTCTGTAATCACTTTATTTTTGCAGCTCCAAGGATTTAAAATATCAAACTTTGGAAAAGATGTTGCTGTCAACAAAATTATAGGATGACAATGCAGTACTTACTGCTTCATTGAGGTAGTGGGTATCTTCATCTTCTGACTGCGTCTGAAATGTTGTAAGAAAAAAATTAGTAAAATTTTCATGTTATTTTCTTTTTTTATGAAACATTTGTTAGAGACAAAGTCAAATTAAATTTTAAAGAATTGCATACATATTTTTTCTATTCAATGAGACAAAACATTCTGTTTCAATTTCCTATATAAAAGATAAATTTGTTGCAATAACGCTTAAAGTTGAGAATATTCTTGAAACAATTCACATATTTCAATACATTACAAAAATATTTTCAAATAGGACAAATCCACAGATCATAATATTTGGCAAAGACATGTTCTTGTCTGCAAATTAATTATCAAAGCTATGTCTGGACATAATATGTTCACTTACATATTTCCTAATGCTCTTGATGAGTAGGGGATACTTAATGAACTTGCTCCTAGCACCATCTGTAAATAAAAACAGTAATATACATGTATTTTAATAGGTTAAAAAGTATAAAATGGATTATCGACCAATAAAAATGGTCACTTGACTATTCATAAAACAGAGACTGTCAATGTCCAAAATTAGGAATGTTGGTTTGACATTACACACATAATCCAAGTCAAAAATAAAACATTCTAACATGTGTTTGTCATTATTTACTGAACAAAAGGTTGACTACAAAAGCAGCCAAAAAATGGCAGATTTCACAGAACACAACAAAAGTGGCATCTAACATTAACGACTGTCAACAAAAGCATACTGCTGTCCCAGTATTGGACTGGTGACAGGTGTTTTTTCAGTTTTCAGAAAAAAAAGTGTAGACTTTAAAATAACATCAATTTCTTCTTTTTTCATCCTCCATATGGTTCACATAGTAATTGTATGTCAGAATTCTTAATTAAATGGTGTTCTGCAACATTCCTTAATTTAACAGACAAACATTAAAATCTTCTGTTTTACTGAACTAAGTTAATCATAAAAAGTAAAAGACATTTTTTTTTAAACCAGGCAAATTATGATCAATCATAAGTAAAAAACTATAAACCATAAGTAGAAACAATGGGTGTAATTTCTAGAGAAAGTCCATTGATGAACGGTATTAAGTTAACAAGTAACATGTCATATAGTATAGTATTCAAACTCTGTTACTAACCAAGCAGGGTCCAGAGGTCAAGTTTACGACTGAAGGGTGAGTTCTGACATCTCTGGAGGAAGTCGTCTACAGCAGGATTGGTGCGCTTCTCATCCAACAGGGCTTTCCCAAACACCTGGTTACTACAGAATGTCACATACTCCTTCAGGGAGGGTACCTGTCATTATAAATATTAATGTAACACAGATCCATACAAGAGAACCCACAGTCACAGATCTAGGAACAGTAATCACTTAAGTCTATTCTACACTTTTTTTTTTTTTTAACAATATTTAACAATACCTTGTATGCTATCTGTATTACTACAAAAATTAAAAACCTTCAAATGAACTTAAAATATGAAATCAAAATTAATACATTAATGGTATATAAACGACAGATGTTAAGAGAGAAATATGTTTTTTCTTCAGTTTTAGTGCCAGCTATTCTAGAATTGCTAATGAATGTACTTTGCTTACAGTAACAATGACAATGAGAGATTGAGTTTCAATTTTTCACAAATATATTTAAAATGGATTACTTTCTATTATCATTCCTTGTATGAAATCATATCCTCTACAATAACACCACTGAATAACAGTTGCAAAATAAGCATTCAGAAATATTTAGTAATTTTCTGTATCATGACACTGTATTACGGGAAGGCAGGTTCGGTGATGTTTCAACTTACCCAATCAACCAAGATCTCTCCAACTCTGTCTGTGGTCCCGTCAGGGCAGCGGTTCATCTGCAGCTTCATTGCAAGGTCTGTAATTTCAAGACATAACCCAATTAAGTAGTTATAGAGAGGAACAGTCTAATTCAAAGCTCCCTCATCATGATATTCCAACCAGTTCATGATCAGATCTAGTGTTAGTGTTAATCAGATATTCGTACCAATAGGACACACATTATTCAGTGACCCCAACATTAATGAACAGAACACAATAAAGTGACGCGAGGAAACAGGTGTAATCACAGGATTACCTCAATCACTCCTACAATTCTAGCTGATTCTAATTATCCAATACATATGATGGTGAATGAGTTTCCATTTCATGTTAGATTTTAGAAACAAATCAAGCAAGTTTTCTATTAAGCAAGGATCTGCTGAGCTCAAAACAAAACCCATTTTATAAATCTGATGTGATACGTGATGGAGATGTATACAAGATACTTTTATATCACATTTCAAAGAATATGTTATATTTATGAACGATTCAACATAACAGTGTTTTAAAAATAAACCGATAATGAAAACTTCACATAGGAAAATTAATTATTATTTCACTACTTCCTGGCTTTCTTATCATGCCTGCTGTGAAAATCCAGTTTTCAAAATCACTTATTTTGTGCTTACCTTCATGCACAGGTATCAACGAGTCAATGGGACCAAATATCTGCTGGAGCTCTCCCTCTGACAAAAGCTGTAGTTTCTTCATAGAGTCACGATAGGTCTGGAACATTAAAACACATACCATCAACATCTGATCTATAAAGCTATATATATTGTTGAAGATCTCTTCGAATACTCATAATACTCATTAAAAAAAAAATCAATACTAAATTTTATGTTATTATTGTCGAACTTAACCTTTTTGACGTTGATCAGATCTTCTGCGAGGTCCTTCTCTCCCTGGTACAGTTCATATATGGCCTGGAACAAATTAAAACAAATATTATTACTCCAATGAAAGAGAAGTCACTGCACTAACCAACAGAAATTAGAATCATATGTACTGCAGAGCGTGGGAAGGTATTACTGAACCATGCACTGAACACAATTAATATATCACCCTAATGCTTATATTGGTGGCGTTTTTGTGTGCATGGCAACACATCAGCAGTCATGATGCTGGAACTAATGTTTGTGCTTACGAGTTGGGTGGGAAAAAATACACTCTTCATGCAGTTATCACTCGGATTCCTGGCTATTTTTGGCATATTTGCATATATACAGGAAATAAAAGTTAAGCCAATGAGTATTCAAATTAACAGAATGGTCACAACTAATGACAATGAATGTGCAGTTTTGGATTAAGAAAATCCAAGTTTTTCTGGTCTTCAGCATTGCTTGTTGACCTCTGACTAACCTCTTGTTTCTTGATGTCCCTGTGACTGAGCTCCTTGGGCATGTTGCCTGAGGTGGTCATCATGTCGCTCCATGTCCGACTGAGGCGTTTCTTGGCTGGGGATGGTGAAGGGGCTTTGTAAGGTGTCAGACTTTGCTTTGATGAGGCAGGGGAGGACGGTACTTTGAAACTGATGGATCGCTGAAAATTGAAGAACAAGATCATTAATTAGCTAGGTGATAATTTCAGGCTGAGTTGTAATGATCTTTTGCTCCAACGATAGAAAAAGACTTAATAATATATAGAAAATGAAAATATAATTTTATAAAAATAAATGTTCAAAACTTAACAATAAAATAATTTTATAACAAAAATTCTAACAGCTTTTCACATTATTACATCTTCTTTGTAACATACCTGGAAGCCATCTGAACCTGTTTTATTGCTTCCCTTGGATGGAGACAGGAGGTTAGCCAGTGATGATACTCTCAATAAGGATCTTCTACTCTTCTTCTACAAAATAACAAATACAAACATATGTACCAAAAATGTAAGCGGTGGTTATAACTCCATTACACATTTTAAGAACATGATCAGTTAGAAATCTTTATACAATAATATCACAATTGTTTCTGATAGATACACGAATGAGGTGTGTAGAAAAAATTGATTTGCCAAGCATTTATAACCTCCATGAACAAAATGAGAAAAAAAATGAAAAAGACATCAAACATGAAATATGTTTAAATGACCTCTTTGATGACAATCACAACATTAAATGACAGTTCTTACCCTTTCTGAACAAAAGTCTAATCTTTCCTGAATGTCACTACTAATTCCTAGAGCCATATCATATAAAGATACATATGAGAAAGATTTATGTCCTGTGACCTAGCAGGACAGACATAAAGCACTGTCATGTTATTGGAATACCAATCTGCTTGGCTGTCGCTAAGTTTAACTGTAATTTCCAGGTGGAATACATCTGACATGAGTCACTAGTGTATATATTGCTTGTGTATTACATTAGATAACAAAACTGAAATAAAGTTTTGAGGACATTTTATAAATAGATACCCATTTCATTTTAAAGCTACACTTGAATAAGTATACAGTGCTTAGTCATATCCCTAAGTGTTCAATGCAGCTGACAATTTTAAAAGCTGTTTAAGTAACGCAATATGTCAGATTAAAACGTGAACCATGAAATAGGAATCCTGGTATTATAGGGACCAAACAAAAGGTTGAGAGGCTTAAGGGGCCGTATGAAATATATGATAGCTGTTTTCATCTATACAAATCCATATATACAGAAAGACGTATTGTGTGTCTTTTGTATTGACAGATTTACCTTGTGTTCCACATCAAAGCTCTGTATACTTAAGGAGTCTTCATCTAACTTCCTCTTTCGTTTTCTCTGTAAAAACAATTAACAAGATAATTAATTGTTATGTTTAATATTAACCATGCATCATATAGTTATTTTTTTAAGCTGTTAATTTTTCAAAAGGGGTATGCTTTATATCGTTTTGATTTAAATAATGTGTGGGCCTCAGAAACCATTGGTCTTTATTGACTCATATTTAAACAATCACTTATACTAACAGCCCATTACTAAAACTGGAAATTCTTTCAACACAAAATATGAAAAATGTCTGAATAAAGTTTGAAAACAATTAATTATTTTGAATATCAAATTTCAATATCTTTTGTATAATTACCAGACTAGGGAGCTCAAAATTGGCAAGACCAATGACAGAATGTCTTCTACAGCTTTTCTCGTCCTTGATTTCAGGCAACCTGGAAGGAAATAAACCACAATAAAAACATAATTACATTTTTTGATATAGGTAAATCTATTCATGACAGTATCAAACTGAAATAGGTGACCGGAATAACATTAATCAACAATTAAACAGGAATAATAGAATAATAAGAATATTATACAACACTTCTTTTCATATATTGCTTGATAGAAAGGGGAAAAAAACGGTGTTCATTAGATGTTGACTATTGACAGTATGTACAAAAAGGTCAGACTCTTGCGCATTAAAGTTCTCGTCTATTTAACATGTTTCGACCTCCAAAATTCAGAGAAAAACTTACAAGTGTATGGTAGCTAGATTTCTAAAATTGCTAAAAGTTCAACTAAAAAATGCTGAATGTTATTGCACTGTTGAAAGTATATCATGCAAACTTAAAGAATAAACAAAATTAATTAAATCAGTGTGTGAGTTTTTAAATTTATCATAAATTCAAAACTGCACGTCCCTGCAAATCGCAACTAAATTTTGAAATCTGCAGTTTATGCATTCTTAAACTGCTATGATTAAAAAAGACAAAAGATAGTTTATCAAAATATAAATGTATCTGGAAAAATATGTACAGTATATCTGGATCCATCAGAGATATTTCTCCCAATAATTACTGGACAGTTCCCTCTAATAGTTGGGTAGCTTTATAGACTGATTCTGATCATGTTTTGTATGTGACCTCAATAAGTATATTTCAAAAATGTCAGGTAATTGGGATAATTATCACAAATACTTACATAATTGGAGTAAGATTCAACCTGGCCATGGCAGAACCAGCAAGATATACAAAGACAAGTAGTTAGAGGTGACAAACACCAGCTATTTTCTCTAAGGGTATTTCCAGATACCTGGATAACAGTCTGAGGATAAGTTGTGTGTTGATAATGTGTCACCTGTCCAGTTCTGACCCAGCTGGTGTTAAGTGTAATTATACACCATGGATGGGCTATCAGGCACTAATTACTCAGTTTGTAACACCTTACTGAAGCCCCTGGCCACTGTTTACACAAACTACAGTGGGGCACTTGTTTATACAAAGTCAACTTCAAAGCTATGTTTTCCTCATTAAGATAAATAATATAAACACATGTTCACTTTCATTATTTACCACTGCTGTTGATAGAAGTTCAATATAATTAGAACAGTGACTACTTTTTAGATATTAATTGATGCCAATCATAAATTCAAATTTTATGCTATTCCAGGTTACATATAAATACTAACTTATACATCCAAAATAAGAGAAAGTTTTCTCTAATGTACATTTTGTTTAGTTTATACATATACTGTTATTTGCTACAAATCAACATAAAACATATGATGTCAACTATAATGTTGATTGTGAGTTTGCTTTTTCAATAAACTGAGTGATTATGAATGCCACAAAAAAATAGGAAAAGTTTTTTAAGCTCTCTTGAATTTGAGATGCGATTCAGTACATCACATGTTAAATAGGAAAAAATAACTGATATCATAAAGTGACATTCTCCTAACATAACATATTATTGACTTGTTGTTGTAACCACATTTATATATATTTTACTTCCTTCCCAAACAAACAAGAACATGGCACTAGTGTACAAGACAACCCAACAGCACAGGGTATTCTTATTTGTGATTAATATACTTTAATGACAGCAGACAGTATTTTTTTCTGGAGAAATTTTTGGTTGATACTGGGTCCAATTACCAAATTATCAGTTTAATAGTTACACATTATTCCGAAAACTTGCATTCAGCTCCTGAAAATTTCTTTCCCAAGTGCTTCTATTTCTTCCCAAAGTTAGATAGATTAGATGTCTGCAATAATTTTTTATACCAAACACCAATAATTTCGCTTATACTGCAGGAATACATATCATTTTACAGTATTAAACATATAGACCAGACAAAAAACAATGAAATCTGATATCTTCAAGACCTCCCTTGAATTTTACTGATAGAAACACATGAACCTCCCAGAAGATGTTGTCAAACAAGGATCGATGCAGGAATAGAAAGTAAGTTCCTTTTTTTGAAATAGGGGAAAATATGCTCTAGATCTGTAGGTGCATTATGGCTTCGAATCGGCCACCACATATGCATTAGACAAGTGTTTGTGTGCCTGTTATGATATTGTATACCACATATATATAACATTGTTAAATATTGGCAATGACGATATGAACCCAGAAAGAATCACTCAGATGTCGAACGGACTGGCAATAAGAATAAAACAGTATATGTATACCAAGACAGATAATTGTGTGGTAGTACATTTGCATTTCAGTTACAAGTTGGGGAATATTTAACTGAAACAGGGGATTATAAAGCTGAAATAGGGGAAAATAATGCTGAAATTGGAGAGGAGGACTTGCCCAAAAGCTCTTACCACTATGACCTTAGACTATCGTTTTCTAGTACTTATATCAATACCCGCATCCCGTTGCCCCGGTGACCCAATATATAAATTGTCTCATCGTTGGAACCTTTGCTTTAATAGCTAGCTAGTCATCTTTCAGTATGGTAAGGATATTGTTCATCATCACATAATCTAATTTTTTTACATCCTACATATATTATTTAAAAGATAGTCAAAACATAAATGTGAGTTCATCAATTATATATTATTTGAAGTAAAACATTCAAGCAAAAGGGGTCACAACACTCAACACAACAGGAAAACATATTGGACTGACCATCAATGCCAACAAACCCTAGATTCTGAAGGTCAACGCAAAGTGAAATGAGCCCACCCAACTTGATACCACCAGCACAGAGAAAGTTAGTGACTTTGTCTACCTTGGAAGTAAGATAACATCAGATGGAAATTCTGAGGTAGAGGTGAAGCCTGCATTGCTGAGGCCAGAGGAGCGTTTGTATCATTGAGCAACATCTGGAGATCAACCAAGATCAGCAGCACCACCAAACTGAAGATATTTATAAACAACATCCTCAGGGTGCTTCTTTATGGTACAGAGACAGGGAAGATAACCAACAGAAACACCAATCAGTTGGATGTCTTCTAGACAAGATGCCTACAAAGAATCTTGCGAATCTTTCGGCCTCAGACCCTCTCCAATGCAGAATTGTACAGGAGGACAAAACACTACCGCTGTCACAGGAAATAAAGAGAAGATGGCGGTGGATTGGGCACATCTGCAGGATGCGCAACACCCAGATTTCATTACAAGGGTAGTAATGAGATGGACACCATTAGGTAAAAGGGAGACCCAAGGAAACCAGGAGGCGGTCGGTCGAGAAGGAAATGAAGGAAGCAGGATGGACGTGGGGACAAGAAGTACAACGATGGTCCCAAGACAGCAAGCATTGGAAGTCTCTGGTGATGGCCTTATGTGCGACGCCACACAAAGTGGATTAAGTAAGTTAGCAAATAAGTTAAAGGGGTCTTTTATAAGAATATAAGCCATGTCCAAAATAAGGTACATAAATAAATAAGGTGTTTAATTACAGATTATATTTTTTGTATATATTGTCGTCTGCTGGATAACCGGATTACACGGTAGTGAACCGGACGTAAAACCACTCAAAGTCAAACAAACATATATCGTACGCCATAAAATGTTCCCATATATAAACATCACGATATTATTGCGACGGAATGGGAATGGATGTAAAAGGTACACGGAAAAGTAAGATGGTTGAGATTCAAAATAGACATAAGCAGGTAGGTATTTTTTACATACTAAATGCACATGCTTTATAACTATTTTGATTAATTTGAAATTAAGAGATATTTCAGGAATGTGACATGGGCAGTTAGTTGGACGACACGTTGTACGAGTCGCATAGTTATAATGAATGAATACTGTTTATTGTTAAAATATATATGTTCATGACACCACCAATAATAATTTCAGGTTTTGATACAGAAATTGCATATAGGCGAGGGATGTGAGGGGGACGGGGTAGTAACTAAGTAAGCGTGCTACAATGAAGTCGAATATGAACACCTATCCACTGCTCTACTCAAATTTCGATGTAAACATGGAATTTCAATCGACAAGCAAACCTTACATACGAAATATATCAGCCTTAAAATAATAAATGCTAGTCAATGTTTCATTATTATTTACCTGAATACATTTTCATCGTCCATACTTGGCATCTTGGTGTGAATTTCGACAGAATTTTGTTTGTACACAGTAACAGCTTTCAAAAATGGCGGCGAACTTAGAGCTTCCTTTAGGCTGCGCCAATCATATCACACGTCCTTTCAAACATTGGCCAATAAAAATTGAGGTTGCCTTCGGATTGTACAATTTACAGAATCTCGCCTAAAACGAAACGACCCATGTTGTCACGACTTTGATATGGAATTGGAAAATATTTATAATTCTCTCAACTTCTATTAGGTATCATACAATGAATAATAAACGTTCATTTCGCATTTGGTCAACAACAATTTGTTACATATTTTCAGTGAGTATTTATCTAAGTTGATTGGCTGATAAAAAGGTTATTATACGAAGAAGACTAAGTAAGTCGAGGATTCCAATGAGAAATAAATTGTCGCTATTGGTACACAATAATTTCAAACACTTTCAAATACGCAAAAAATGACATTAATAATACTAGGATGGGAAGATAAACATTTTTTTATTTATTTTTACAAATTCCGATATTAAAGGTATGAGCTAGGAATATAAAAAGATTTTTTAAAACAGTGCTAGTATAAGGGATAACGATAAGGCAATGACAGTACAAGATGGTATCTAAATTAATGTCAGTATAAAATGAACTTTGATAATAAAGGAAAGCTAAAGAAAAAAAAAGGTTATTGTAATTAACTTATTTAGTTAATGTAATAATGATAATTTTTTATTGATTTAAAAGTTAAGATTATTTGTGAAAAGGTGACCTTACCAAAATGTTTTTGGTTTTGTCTGGGTTTTTTTTTTGTTGGTTAAATGAGTTCCTTAATTATCGCCGATTTGAACCTGCCTTTAAAAGAACCAGATACGTTAAAAACTGACAATTTTTGCATAAAAAAATCAAGAACGTTATGGGGACAGTTTTTAACTTCACGGTAACCATGTAAAATCAAACAAAAGATAATACGTAAGGGGTGTAAAGGGTAAATACCACCCTCGGCTCCAGATGATAACGCTAACACTTGTTTACTTAGGTTAGACTTTCACCCAGGGGAGATGAGGGGTAAACAGTTCATAAATAATTTAATCCAATGTAGTTGCTGACCGGTTGATGAAGTCCAGCATCCGGTCGCCGGACAAAATAAATCAGATGCAAACGGCTGACATCCCCGGTGAAAGTTCTGATGTGATATGACCACGTTGTTGTAAAACGCAAAAATCTAATCGTGGTAACACTGCTTGGAATTAGGGCACGGAATTAGATTAGTCCGTGGTTAGGGTTAACCAGCCTGCATGGACAGGGAAAATTCCATTCATATAAATACAAAACAAAATATGAACATCATATATCTTTTCACTGCTGTAATTTAATAGATATTGATTGAGAAAGATAATGTTACTAACAGTTATGTTTGTCAAGATGCATGTGACCGGCATAAAGGTCCGGTGACATTTAATCCCTGACGAAGGGCTAAGCCCGAAAACTTGCAAAAGAGTGACTTTAAAGTTTGTTAATATTATTGCGTTCCCTATAGGAACATATGTTTATAAACAATTAATATTGATGTGTTTTGAGGATATATTTTGATTTGAAAACCCTGACTATAATCTGAATTTTTCACGAACCAATGGTTTAAGCTGCTAACCATACCTTAGAGAAACCGGCTGCATCATAAGTATAGATACAATCCAAATTAGGGTTAATGGGATATTATTTCTTCTGTATCCTTGGTAACTGTATGAACGTACTTACTCCAACAATGTACATGAGAATTTAATCATTTTAGTTTTGTAGTAAAAAAAATTCCAACGCCGACGGAAAAATTAGATCGACCTATATGGCGTCTCAAAGGTTGCAATATTCAATAATTTCATGACCATAAAAAAACTATTGAATATTGCAGCGTTTGACACGCCATAGACCTATACATGTCTCGTTTTGCTACTTTTCGCACACACAGAAAAATAGTTGTAATGTATGTGCAATAAACTCGTATGGAATTGTCTTAACTGCTAATTAGGCTAAACATCAATCATTCCATTGATGTAAAATATCACTTCGATCTTTTTTCCCCGACGAAACGCAACTTTGATTATTGCTTATATACGTCGTTGCTTTGGTATTCACGCTGTTTATTACTTGAGATAGTAGCACGAAATTAGATTGCTATCTAAGTCCGTGATAGTAGATAGAAAATAATAGTTAAGCATTAACTTATATGGATATAATAAACGGTTTCAAGCACCAAATACGTATCTTTTTCTAAAAGAAAGATGCTAATCTCATATACCCAGTGTAAAACAGACGACTGAAAAAATTGCAAAACTTAACATCTATGCTCCATACTTACATCTATGCTCCATACTTATTATAAAATATATATCACTATATATAAATGAATTGATGCATGGTGTTTTTTAATCTGAACATCTAACCGACTTTACTAGAGCGTACAATATATAATAGGAAATTTCAGACGACAGTTTTATGATATATTGAATGTTTTAAGTAAGTCGACGACATGAATGTATAATTTGTAGTAAGATTTTAATAACGCCTCTACCTGTTATTTTTTTACCAATAATGCATACATCTTATCCAGTCATGCCATCGAGGATGATTGTAAAACGTTATGTTAATTGCACCAGGTAAGTGTTGCTAGTAGGGAAAATGGTATGTGCACACTTTCATTGGCGATCGTTGTAGGTACACTTGCACTGAAATATGTACCAAGTTATTTTTACATCTGATTTAAGAATTCTGTATACCACTAGACAGAAGTGGATGATCCGTCTGTCAACAAGTCGCTGTCGGTGAAGTGGAAGGATAAGAATTAAGTTATAGGTATTGAAAAGTCTGATAAAAAACATTTCCTGATGATAAACATTGGATGACTGGTGAAATTCGGCATAAATTAAGATATAAGAATAGATTACATAAAAGAGCTAAAAATAAAAATAGTGAACAAGATTGGGCAAAATTTAGAACTTGTCGCAATGACACTATACAAATTATTCGGCAATCCAAAGAAAATTACTTTAAGAAACTTCAAAATTGTCTTGCCGACAAAACAGTGCATCCAAGAAAATGGTGGCAGATAGCAAAATCTATAGGAAAAATGAATAACACTAGCACTAATTCTTATCCTCTAAAATCTAACAATAAAATATTAATCCATCCACAAGATAAAGCTGAGGCACTAAATAACTTCTTTACCACCATTGCCTCTGATATTACTGACACTAACCTACCTGATTTACCTCCCTTATGTCCATTTGAACTTTCTGACATTAACATTACTGAACAAGATATAACTGACCAATTTGACATTTTTAATAAAAACAAACCAGCTGGTCCTGATGGTATTTTACCTATGATTGTAAAGAACATTTCTGCTTCTTTAGTATACCCACTCAAACTATTATTTAATAGAACTTTATCTATTGGAGTAATACCTGATGTACTAAAAACGGCTAATGTTACTGCTCTCTATAAAGGTAAAGGAGATATCAGTGATCTCAATAATTATAGACCTATTGCTATTACATCTATTTTTATCAAAATGTTAGAAAAAAATATTTTTAAATATACGTTTAATTATATTTCAAGTCACAATATGTTAAGTGTACATCAGTCAGGATTTCAACCCAAAGACTCCACTACTAATCAACTAGCTGATATCTATAATACTATAAGTGGCAATTTAGACCAAGGTAAAGATTTGCGTTTTGTTTTCTGTGACATAAGTAAAGCATTTGATCGAGTATGGCATTTGGGCCTATTATATAAACTAAAAACATATGGTATTAAAGGTAAATTATATAATTGGTTTAAAGCTTACTTATCTGACAGAAAACAAAGGGTTATCTTTGAAGGTTATAAATCTAGTACCAAACCTATGTCTGCAGGGGTTCCTCAAGGATCTGTCCTTGGTCCCTTCCTCTTTCTTCTTTTTATTAATGATATTACTAATAATGTAACTTCTCATATAAAACTCTTTGCAGATGATACCTCTCTCTATGTAATAGTAAATAATAACAATGACCTTACAACACCTACTAACATACTTAATGATGATCTTGACTCAATCTCTGAATGGTCAAAGCGATGGCAGATCCTATTCAATCCGAATAAGACTGTAGCTATTAACTTCTCTCGTAGACACATTAACAATCATCCTCAACTGCTATTTAACAATACTCCAATTGCACAACATGAACACCATACTCACTTAGGACTAACATTTAACAGTAAAGGGACATGGTCAGATCACATTTCAAATATTTATAAGAAAGCGAACTCTAGACTAAGTATTCTTAGAATTTTAAAAACTACAGTTGATAGGAATACATTAAAAACATTATATGTCTCTTATATAAGACCTGTGCTAGAATATTCTGATATAGTATGGGATAATTGTACCAAATCGGAATCAGATCTTTTAGAATCAGTTCAACTAGAAGCTATGCGTTTAATTACTGGCCTCAGACGAGGTACATCTCATCATATTCTGTATACTGAAACACAACTTGAAACATTACACACACGAAGACAAAATCATAAACTAACATTAATGTATAAGATTCTTAATAATTACACTCCAACTTATCTCGATAATATCATTCAACCATTTCTAAATGTAAATAATAACTATACCTTCAGAAATAACAGATTCTTTAATATACCACAGACAAGAACTACTACTTATATGAATAGCTTCTTCCCTTCTACAATGGTAAAATGGAATGCACTTGATAGCACTGTACGAGACTCCATCTCAATTTCATCTTTTAAAAAGAAACTTAAAAAAACCTTTGATACATCCGTCTCAGAAACTTTTATTAACTGTGTTCCGAGGAAACTTAACATAATTTTATGTCAGCTAAGAAATTTTAAAAGTGATCTTAACTGTGATAAGTTACAAGACCATCTGATTGATGATGCTTCCTGTGTATGTGGTGTACAGAGGGAAGATCTAATACATTTTTTCTTTCAATGTCCTCTGTATTCTAATATTAGGCATCATATTACCACTATTTATAATCTAGTAGGATATTTAAATCTGCACTGTTTAGTATATGGTATTAGTAATGCATCCAACCAATTAAATAAAACTATTCTTATACATGTTGACTCTTATATTAAATCATCAAAACGTTTCGTTACTTATACGTGCTAGATAAATTTCCAAATGAATATTCATGTATTGTTATAATTATTGTTATTCAGGCAAGTTTTATCCCTTAAATAACGAGTATTAGACATAAGCTGGTGTGGGTGTGGGTGTGCATGAGTGTGAGAGGAAACGAATCACAACATTTTATATATTTAAGCATTGTACATATCTACCGGAATTAGAAGAAGACTGATATAGGCAAAGCCTGTTGTCTTATTCTTTTGTCAATACTGTTCAAATATCTCCTTTAATGTTAACTTATATGTTTGTATTATATATGTATTGTCAATAAAATACTTTGAAATTGAAAAATAAAAAACATTTTACGTCCTGGCTTATGGACGACGTCCTATCTGACCGTTCAGCTAGTTATCTACAATCTCATGTTGGGGAACTACCGGGTTCGCGTGAAAAGTACGTATACGTATAACCTATAATGTGTAATGTTTTACAAGATATATGTGTATCCAGATGTTTATAATATGCAGTGAGACATTAGGGTGTGTTGGGTTTTTATTCTGTGTTAAAACTGAACAAATAAACTCGGGAGTTTTAAACTACAACATGATAAAGATAGTTATATAACGGGACTGAAAAACACGTATTGGTAAATACTGTTTGACGAGGTATTCGTGAAAGTGATTGTGTAACAACAGGCGTTTGTTGATAAGGAGTTGATGATGTCCCTCCGTCGACGAGGAGTGCCCGTGGATAGGTATATGGTTTATGTGGTGTTGATGTGGTTAGGTAGAGACGTCGGGTGTACGACTGGCGTACCGTGTCCCCAGGAGGAGAGAAACTCCACCGTCCTACTTGACACCCATGACACCTGTACACCTGGTGACACGTGTGAGACAGACTGCACTCCACAGGTATGTTATCACCGGGTGTATGTTTGGCATCTCCAGCAGTGTACTGCTGCTGTCAATGGTCAACACTGACAAGTTTGACACTATACATTTCTAATTATAATCGTGATATACTTACACACTCTTTGTTTTAATACTTCCTCAAAGCTAACGATCCTTACTTTTGTTTTTAAGTTTGACTTCGTCGTGTCCCTTCAATCCAGAAATCGACCCCGTTTTCGAAAAAAATATCGTATATACCCTATAAACATACTTTATGAGACATCGTACGTACTTAATGCGATATATTTTTTAAATTATATCTCTAAAACAGTCTATAGGTATGTAAAATACCTTCACAACTATACATGAGTTGTATATTTCTTATTTGTTTAAAATTTATCTCTATAATTAAAGACGATATTGTCATATTTTATAAATTAATATTTGTTTCTTGACACATATTCAGTTAATTACCTTTTAAAACATTTGTTTTAGCATATCATTATTCCTAGAAATAATCAATACTTTTTTGTTTATCAGGACAAGAATTTCAAGTGCAGTGTCCACGATGAAACAGGTATACTTCCGTGTTAGCATTAACATCATACTAATATATAGATTCAAAGTTAAATTCACATCGTCCGCATTGGCGTAGGCGTATTACACAATATCCACGGGCCTTTCTTGAAAGCCGATCCTCGACTGCTTGACAAAGGAAATAATGGTAGTTAACTATAAGCTGAACAATCCCAGTCCAGTTTTTAGCTCACCTGCCCGAAGGGCAAGTGAGCTTATGCCGCGGCGTCCGGCGTCCGGCGTCAACTTTTCCCTTTAAAAGCCTTTATCTCCTGAACGACTGATTGTATTTTAACTAAATTTGATATGAAGCATCCTTGGGACCAGGGGCTCAATGGATGTATGAAATAAGGGTGTGGCCCACTAGGGGGTTTAGTGAGGGGCCAAAAGGGGGGAAATTTAGAAAAATAAATAAAAAATCTTCTTCTCAATTTCCAGATATGCTAAAACCAAATACTACTCATAGTTGTAAAGGCCTTTGGGTGGTTTATAAAAAAAATG